GTGTAAGCAAGAACCGAAATTTGAAAGAGTGGAATATGATAACAAGACAGCAGCAAAGTGCAACACAAGCCATAAGAAATCCACACATGCAAAATGCCAATATATCCTGATGCGTCGGTACATCACTTATAGAGCTTTTTAAGTTCTGGAAAAGCCAAAATTGGAGCGACCAATAGCTTTTGTCGTAAATCTTCAAAAGCCTTTTGTGTTACATTATTCCAAATGAAAGTGGCGTTTTTCTTGGTTAAAGCGATGAGTGGGTATGCTATTTCAGAAAAATTGTGAATAAATTTTCGATAATAGCTAAGACAACCAATGTATGCTCGAATTTCCTTAAAATTGTTAGGTGGTTGCATTTTGGTAATGACTTCCAATTTTTCAGGATTGGGAGCAATGCCATTCTTAGATATTATGTGTCTTAAATACTTTATTTCGGGTTTTAAAAACAGACATTTTGAAGGCTTCAATTTCAAACCTGCTTGTTTCAATCTGTTGAAAACTTCCTCGATGTGTAACAGATGTTCATCAAAAGTGTTTGATTGAATGTTAATATCATCAATGAAAACTTTGACATACTTATTCAACAGTCCACTCATCACTTTATCCATGAGACCCTGAAAAATACTGGGAGCAGTTGAAATGCCAAATGGCAACCTATTAAATTCGAACAATCCCATAAAACTGGTAAAGGCTGTTATTGGTTTATCCGATTCCTGCAATTCTAACTGCCAAAAACCATTTTTCAGGTCAAGGCAACTGAAAAATTGTGACCCAGACAAAGAATTAATCAAATCTTCCATATGGGGCAGTGGATTTCCCCCACAGCTAATGGCTGACCTTTACGAACCTGATAAGCTACACCAGTCTCATTGATAATTTCTAATCTTACCCTATAAATAGAACTAGCCTTAATCAAACCAGGTTGATCTAAAAACAACTTCGATGTATTAAGGGGAGTGACTATTATATCCTTACCTATAAATGACTTTGATATTTTAGTTTCTAAATGACGAACTGAACGAGGGTCTATCTTCACATCACTTGTCGAAATCATCAATTCTCGGATTTCACTATCCTTTGAGTGAAGAACTATAATACTGTTATTTACCAACATAGTTTTTTGACAAAAATCAAGACTAACACCAAAAGATGTAAAGAAATCGTTTCCTAAAATCAAAGTTTTCTTCAAATCTTCAACTACGTAAAAATTAAACAAAATTTTTTCTTGCCCCAACCTAAAATAAATTGTTACTAACCCTTTAATTCAAAATTATCCCCAGTGACACCAACAACGTTTGAAAGAATTTCCGACCTTGTACCATAATTTTGAATATTTTTCTTATCAATTTTCTTGAACAAATTAAAATCGAGTACACTTATATCTGCCCCAGAGTCGACCAAGGCCTCGACATTTTTTAAAAGACCAATAGATATGTCACAAAATAAAATTCCAGTTTTCTTTAAACGTGGGTGTAAAATTTGATCTGATTCCGCTTTCTGCATTGAATCGACCTCCATTGGTTCTTCAGTAGTTTGACGTCTGCGCATCTGGAATGCCCGAGACGTGTGCTGTATTCCAGCCGCTTTTTTAATTGCCAGGTCAAAAGTGCTCGGAGTATAAATTATATATAGAAAAATGGCACTTTCTTTGTTTTTAGCTCTTTAAAATTCATCTTACGTTTTTATCCTAGATGTCTTTGATGCTACTTATGGTGTTATCAAAACAAATTATCACTTCTTGCCTCTTGCATTTTAGCTCACATTCTGATCGTCTGTCACAAATTTTAAGGAATATTTTGAATTTTATTAACAACATTACTCTGTATGTTTTATAATGTATCTGTTTTAAAGCAATAAAAGATTTATTGAAAAAAAAAGAAAAGAAAAAAAAAAAGAAAAGAAAAAAAAAAATTTTCAAGAGGAAAAAAAAAAAATTGATAAATAAATAAATAATATGATATATTGAGGTGTGGGGTAATCTCTTTCATTTTGTTTGGTAGAAATAGTGGTTGTGTTTTTGACAACATTTTCCGGGTAGCTTCCAATCTTATATGAGTAATAAGTTTTTGATTTAATTAACTCGAATCAACCATTAGATGTTGAAGGACAGTAGATATGTAGTAGGACATAAGAAATGATAAACGGCTTCATTTAGCTTTACGATATTTATTTTTTCTTGGCTTAGAGAGATTTACATTCGCAAACACGGGTTATACTTTTGAAGCACAAACCGTTTTATTCAGATATTACAGTTTGATAGCTACTTAATATCTCAGACCTAGCCATTGTCAAATTGTCACTTCCAGTTGTGTTGTTTCATGATTATCTTTCCAAATTTCAAGTAGGCTCATTAAAATCTCTGACAATCGCCCTTTTAGTATTTTAATGGAATTCTGCTGTCGCTCATGTCCGTCCGTCCACAATTGACATGTGAAGGCGATAGAGTAAAGGCAATAGTTTATGTCATGATTTTTATAACATGTGGTGTGTAGGTTTATATCCACTAGATCTTGGAAAATTTTAAGTTGACGATTCCACGTCCTACATATACTGAAAATGTATTGCGTATAAGTGGCATATTTTGGCGGTAATGCGACCCTTCACACATAGAGCCTAAACTGTCCCCCACAAGTCCTGTATGTTTCATTGCTTTGGTCAAACATTTACTGAACTCTCCCGGACTATATACTAAACCTTTCCAGAAAGAGTTTATTGATTTATATCCATCAAAATTTAAAAAAATATAAATAGAGAATTATCTATTTGAGTGCTTGAAAAATGAAATTTCCATACCTTCGCTCAAATCGATTAGGTATTAAGTATGTTTGCTAAAATCGTTTAATGAAATCAATATTAGGTTGTTAGTAATTTGATCGTTTTTAAATTAATATCGACTCAATGGTACTTCATCAAGTTTCTCTCTATCCCATACTTAAATGTAATTAAATTTTTTTAAATCACAAAACATTAGTATCATACAATAATATTACTGTAACATAAAAGAGCAAAAAATCTGAGAGAAAAGATGGGTGGAAATTGTTATAATCTCATCGAAAGTTAAATTTTATTTCTGATGCATTTTGTCACAGATACATTAATGACCAAATGGAGCTAACGTATCACTGAAATTGAAACTGTATCAAAACAAGTTACCTATTTGCGCGAAGAGATAATTTTTTATGTTCATATTTCAATTCAGTGGCGTAGAGGAAGTATGACGAATGTGGGTGTTTGGACACGAAGCTAATATATCTGAGGCCTTTGCTATTATAGTGGCTAGTTTTAGTGGTTTCGTAAGACTGAGTAATAATTGCTAAACATTTGCATGTTGAAAAAGAACACCATTTCTTTATTGTTTCGTTTCGTCATATGTAAATAAAAACATTCCAGCTTTTTATTGCAGCCCGCATAAAAAAAAACGTTCTTTTCAATTCGCGAATATCAGGCGTCAAATGACCTGTAGGAGTGGCGGAGGATTCAAGACACCGTAATTTCACTTGTTTTAAAAAGTAAATTTTAATAAAGGATTTTTTTTGAAAGCTAGATTTTAATGAAGGATTTTTTTAAAGTTTATGTCGCCTGGATGGTCATAAACAAACGAACTTTCATAAAATATTTAAAACACTATCTGGTGCCATAAAGAAATCTATTTAAAAGATTGTGTATAATTGACCAAATTATTCAAAAGAATATTTTTTATTGTCTGTATGTTTAGAATATTTCTAGGTCAGTAGATTTCGACTCAGTAAATGTTAACATTCAGAATTCAGATAAGAGTAATAACAATCATTCTGTCTACTATTTTCGCCCTTCCCATGTACTATGATATATTTAGCCACAGGAAAAATTATGCTTTCTCTATTCTTGTTTCAATTTGTCATTGCTTTTCTATTTTATTATATTAATTTGTCTAAGTTATTCTAAAACATTTAGGGTCAGTTCTTCTTTTTTATCATTACGAGACCTTTTTCATGGCAGGTCCATCTTCTCAATATTGTTTACGTAACTCAGTTAAGCCTATCAATTGACACTCTTCTTTAGCAATAAAACGTGGATTCGAACACTGTGCCAAAAACTTTATACTAACAGAAGTCTAACTTCCTAAAACTTAATCGCCCTTTTGAGACCTTGGGCTAGCTACGGTCCTGTTTTTTTTTTAGAGTCACCTTATTACAGTAAAACATCTTCTTTTCAGATTAAACCATAGTGATCAATAAATAGTTGAAGTGGCTCGACGAGAAAGAAATGTTTTGTCTGAGAGCTGTTAATGGTTAGTGTTCTGTGACGGAGGTTTTACACGCCAGCTTCAATTTTATAACAGCACATACTCAATGAATTATGTAATTCATTTACTTTATTCTGTAGATCCCAGGTGAATGTTTGTTATATATGTCAATATAATAGTGTTGCGTGTAAATAAGATTCGGGAAGAATTTGTGTTGCGTTGTGATAAACTTCAGCGAGATTCAACGATACGGTTCAAGAACAATCAGTTTTATGCTGATGAATACTTTTTGATAACGTTCGAGAAACTGAAGATAAAAAATGAAATTTAGTGTTACGATTAGAAAACTTTTATGAACATGTGTTACGTCTAAAAAGAAATACTCCCAGAGAGATAAGTATAACTTTTCGGAAGTATCTATGTTAGAGTAAGATAAAATTCGAGAAGAAATAGTGTTATGTGTTATAACGTCTGGAAAGAAGTGTTACTTCCAGATAATGCTCATATATTATATATAGCAGGTAACACTTAGAAGTAATCATAGATATGCTTTCATAACCTTGAAAATCAGATAATATTTAGATATAATCTGCACAAATCATGGTATACGGTTGTACTAAGTTAGAATCTGAATTCAGATAAACTACGGTACGTAGAGAACATTATATTGATTGTGACACAGTGGAAACTATCAGATTTCATTCTCTAGAAAAAAATCTTCTAGACTACTGCGATGGTAGAATATATGTTAAAACTCGTTTTCGTCAACATTATAATGACTAAAATATATTGTATCCTTCTTTGTACAGAACCGAATGTAATGAAATCGGTTAGAAATGGTGAAAAACTTGAAGGTTATTTGATAGAAGCGACTACAACCAGCCTGATGAATTGTGGTAAAGAATGTGTTTATCAAACGAATTGTTTATCGTTTAATTACAATACACAAACTGGAAGATGTGAATTAAATCGTAATGTTAATTCATCTTCATCTCCCTTAATCAGTTCTCCGGGATTTTTATATTCCGACAAATCTAATTGGATAAATGTTGTTACTGATCCCTGTCGAGATGTTACTTGTTTGGATAATGAGAAATGTGTTGTGAAGAATGATACGGGTGTTTGTATAAAATATGACTGTTATATTCCATCGGAAATGTTATATTCTGGTGAACCGCTTTATTCTGGAACGGTTACCGAATATGACGCAGTTTATTCTTGTTCGGGCCCTGGGGTAGTTCGAGAAGACGTGACATTGACCTGTGAACAGAATGGACATTGGGTAGGTGGACAGTGTAGAAAAATATCCTCCTGTTTACAAATTAAACAATGTGAGAAAAATTATACTGATGGAGAATTTTGGCTTTATCCATTAAAATATAATAATACAGAGAGGGTTAAAATCTATTGTGACGGTCTCAATACCACAACGCCAAAAGAATACGTTTCCTTGCCCAAGGGTAACGTGGTCGTTTACTCAAAATATATCATAGATAATACAAACATTGCACTCTGTAAACTGAAAGATTCAGATTCGTCTGCTTGGGGGCAATCGGAGTACTTTAAAGTCCGAGTGATGCCAGACACAATGATCATCGACCAAACCGACAAAGAGTTTGCCAAACTCATAGATGGAGTGCATCAAAATTATGGAATGGCTTCTGATTGTTCACTTTTGATTCCATCTTGTGGACGAGCCGTTACTGGCTATATGATGATAAATACAACCAATACTGGATTGATCATTGATGAATCTTTAGATTGGGTAACGTTTGGATGGACCCCTCATAAACTCTATTATAATAGATCAAGTTCATATATTCTAGAAGCTAAATGTGGAGGGTATTGTGGTGGATGTAAAAGCGATAGTGATTTGATGTTTGTCCTCGATGACGGTTTTGAATTGGAGAATGATGAAGCTATAGAGGTGTCTTGTTGATCTAAAAGTATGGGAATTAGACACATCGTGGATCTGAACACTTAACTCGGTCATTATTTCTTGCACGGTTCTCTATAGCATTGACCATAAAGGTTAAGATTTATTTTTTTGAGAAGGTGGCTTAAATATGGGCATTCCAATTTTTTGAATATGGCATGTGGACTAGCGTTTCTCGGTACTTATAATAATGTTAATAATGTCAATAATGATTGTTTTGGAAGTCTTTGCATTATGCGGCCTCTATTGCTTTTCTTTTAAAAGTCAGTATGCCAAGGTTCAGTCGATTATGGGCTGACCGATTTCAGTCATATTTACTAATGAGAATATATTAAGTAATTACTTGCATTTTAAAAGGATGTACAATAGATCAATGGTGGCTCAAGCCTATAGCGTCACGATTTTTCAGCTTAAGTAATTATTGTGAACATTTGCCATTTAATACTATTACAAACGTCTATTTCTAGCCGGCGAATTTGCAAATTCAGCATTGCTTGAAAGTCATATATCGTTACTAACAAAGACTAGTTTATGCTTAATCACGCATGCTGTTATCACAGGTTTATTGTAAATTGTCTTTTGTTATTCCACATAATGTTCACAAGGATTGGTATTGAATTCATTCAGCCAACTACACCAACCAATCCAACCGGAATTTAAAAATGACTTGGGGAAAAATGTGGAATTAAGTGGAATCCAGTCAGAAAAAGGCAATAGTTCAAGTTTCGTTAGGTTTTATGGGTGTTAATAAGTTGCTTGTCGGATTGTATGAATATTTTAATCAAAAACAACTATCTCTATTTCAGCCTCTGATAGATATTTTGACAGTTGTCGCCTAATGTAGCCTAGAGTAAACAAAATATTAGCCCTGTTTATGGGTATTTTTTACACCTCCGAAGGCGCCTAATTTTATGCATAATATATTACCCTGCCTTTACGTAGACTGTAAATTTGTGTTGGAAATCAATGTTACTTTCGTTTTGTTAGTAGCACTTGAACCTGTGACCCTTGAAGTTTTGATTGCACTTGCTGTCTTAAATGACAGACAAGAGATGAAAAAAAAAACACAGACGCGAAATAAAGGGATTAGGTGGATTATGATGGTAAAGCTGAACTGCGAAAATATCCATCTTTTCTAATATATCTGGGATTTAAGATTTAGAAAACCGGCACCTTCAGAGGTGTGGGAAATGACCACAAAACTGGATTCAGTTTTTCTGCCTCCACACTAGCCGACAACTGTCCAAAATCCTAAACAACGTCAATTTCGAGCTATTATTTATATTATTGGGCCAGTTAGTTCTGTTTGAAAGATTGATTTGAATACCAACCCTTTTTCTAAACTTTAAACATTGTAGTTGTTGACTATTTTACATGCTGATGATTATATACTGTTATGAGCAAAAAAACATGATACTCAAAGATAGGAGTGGAATAGAAACCGATATTGTCTTAAAACTTATTCTCGAGAGTATTCTTTTTATTTATTTGTGAGACAATGACGAAGTTTAATTATTAATATCATTCTTTGAAACAATGCTTACAAATGAAGGTAATAAACAAACAACGAAAATAGTGATGTTAAACCTGGATTTCAAGCTGTTAATATCTATAACAAATTGTTAGACTAAGTCATTGACAAATAAAGTTTTCTTCACAGTCTTCGTAATCGTCCCACAGTTCAAAATAAAGAAAATCTAAATTGACAACGCAATAACATTTTCACGCAACTATGAGCACTCATTAATTTGAATATTTCATCATGAAAAGTATCTTCTATACCTATGTTCAAAGTCCAGCCGTCCTATACGGATGGAACTATCACAAGTGGGATGTGAGTTTCATTGTATATGCAGTCATCTTCTTTATTACATACATGACTGTGTAATCCTACTACACTGATACACAGAAAATCAGATCAAACTACTTTTTAGTACAAAAAATATATACAACGGTAGTATTCTTCCTTTAACCACAAATGTATTCTTATCTCCATCCGATGAGCGTCCCTTTGACACTCGAGTATATTTATCGCTGTAAATAATGCACATAAAAACAACAAATTGGCATAACGCAGACACCATAATTTTGAGCGGTAGTGTCGCCAACATTGACTCACGTATTTTTTCAATAATGGCTTTTCTTATACTCCTGATATCTCTAATGAGATGAAATACTTGCATTTATCATGATATTTATTCCCGTGACAATGGGTCTAAATTTTCAAAGCCGCACGAGTAGAATCTCCAAACTAACCGATAATTTTAAAGCTTGGGGTTGCGGTATTTATAAGTTGTTATTATTTTGTTACAAATTGAAGTGATGTATTTCGATCATTAAAGATGAAGCATGAAATTTTGCAAATATTTGCCATATCTATGCATTTGCCATATCTATGCTGTTCTTCTCTACCTTCCCGAAATGCCGTCTGCTATCCACTTCAGTTTAAAACCTTATTCAGCACAATCTGTGACTACGATACTATTTATAGTAACTACCATGCCTCATTTGTTTCTGTGCCGAATCTTAGACTAGTCATCGAGAAAAATTAATCAAAGGTGTGACGAATTATTATGATCTCATTGTTTTAGTCACCCAATCTTGTAATAAGCTAAGTTTAATTTATTTTTTCAATTTTTTTTTATTATCAACACAAAACAAACAAAAGACAACATGACTGACTTTTTATATCATTTGCTGATGTCGCCGACTTTCAGTTTGGAATCGATTAGTAACATCCTTATCGTTCCAACGACCGATAATCGATATCGCCCACAATCGGAACATTACTGGGTTCGACCAATTTATGTCCAGTTATATATGTTGTAAACATATATTGTTTTCTTTCAGAAAAAGCGAAGGTTATTAATGTCTCACAGGAAAAACAAAGACGAAGTGTTTCATACATTATAAATGGGACCCAGAGGGGATTGTGTTTAAAGTGATACTACGTCTTAGAATGAACATAAAATTTAAGTTCTCGAAATGGTCAATATTAGTATATATTCATCAGTTGCTTACCTGGTGTCATAAAGTTACAACAGAATCCCTGTAAAATCTGGAAAATTAGAAATTTCATAAAACTAAGTAATTATTAAAAAACGCTTAATCTTGATATTAAGCATATTTCAATAGTTAATTACAAATTATGGATAATTACTAAGTTTTTGGGATTAATCGGATTATATAAATATTCTGTTATGTTATTTATGACACCAGGTATATCTACTGGCTCTTATTCGGCAAGTTTAAAATTCTTCAATTTTATGTCCATTCTAAGACGTAGTATCACTTTCACAATATGGGTTATGTTGAAACTGTAAAGTCTATATCAGTCATTTTTCCATAAATGTCAGTAGACTTGTTTAATGAATATTACTTGTAATAAGTTGATTTCTTCATTACGACTATGAGATGAATATTCTAAAATATTCCATTAAAATGCGCACACTTAATGTACCATGTCATTACATATGGCAGGACAAAATTATTGCTTTTTGCTACAAGAAATCTGACTTTTTTTTATCTCAATTTTGATATATATGATTGTTATAAAATTCATGTCAAGAGGTACTAAATAAACAAAATAAAGCAACATCATAAACAGTACGCATATTCTATTTATAATATCAAACATCCGCTACGTTCTTCTCAGAAAGGTTTGTAGGTTGTGAAACACCATGATATTTGTGTTACTGTTGAATGTAGTTTGTTATACTTCGTTGTCTGTTATACTTCCTCACAAATAAATATATAGCTTGCCAGATAAAGTCATATACTTCTACGACAGCAAATAAGATAAAAAAAAAAACGTTAACAAAAATAGAAAAAAACACATATTGCTGTGTAATTTGGCGAAGATACAAAATTACTATTATATATTTATTTATATATCACAGGTATAACTATATAACTATCAGTAGCTTTTATAGTAGACCGAAACATCTGTCTATATTCCAGCTTCAATCAGCTACTTTACAGATATTGGCTGATGTAGAGACAGAAAAAATAGGCCCTGTTAAATGGATCTTCGCAGATGCAGGGGGTTTTAAACCTGTTTAGATACCTCAGATATGAAAAACCCAGATTTGAAAAGAAGAATAGTTTTGTAGTTCAGTCATACCATCATTTTCTTCCTACATCTTTTATGTCATGTCTCTGGTTCCATCAAAGTTTTTTTTTAACAAAAACTGATATCGCATCGGCCATTAAAAACTGCGTGCAAGAGTAACCAACAGGGTAGCAAGATGAATTAGAAAGTCAAAAGACAAACTATCACTGAATGGTAACTCTTTACACACATGTTTAGCAGTACCCCCACTCCCTCCCTGACACTGTATTCTCGCTGTTAGGTTGACTGAGAGGTAATGTTACTGACACTATATTCTCGCTGTTAGGTTGACTGAGAGGTAATGTTACTGACACTATATTCTTGCTGTTAGGTTGACTGGGAGGTAATGTTACTGACACTATATTCTCGCTGTTAGGTTGACTGAGTGTTAATGTTACTGAAACTGTATTACTAACTGTATTCTCGCACTTAGATTTACCGAGTGTTAAAGACAAACTAACACTGAATGGTAACTCTTTACACACATGTTTAGCAGTACAGATAATACCACCTTTTGGACCCCCACTCCCTCCCTGACACTGCATTCTCGCTGTTAGGTTGACTGAGAGGTAATGTTATTGACACTATATTCTTGCTGTTAGGTTGACTGAGAGGTAATGCTACTGACACTATATTCTCGCTGTTAGGTTGACTGAGAGGTAATGTTACTGACACTATATTCTCGCTGTTAGGTTGACTGGGAGGTAATGTTACTGACACTATATTCTCGCTGTTAGGTTGACTGAGTATTAATGTTACTGAAACTGTATTACTAACTGTATTCTCGCACTTAGATTTACCGAGTGTTAATGTTACTGATACTGTATTCTCACCGTTAGGTTGACTGGAAAGTAATGTTACTGAAACTGTATTCTCGCTGTAAGGTTTACTTAGTGTTAATGTACCTGACACTGCATTCTCGCCGTTAGATTATGAAGTAACTCATGTTATACGGTACTAAATGAACTGGTTATTAACAATAATCATCTATTACTATTATCAAATATCCGATACGTTTTTCTCACTTCTATTTATTAGATCATAAATCAATGCAATTCCAATATATTTGTGTAGTAGCAATATTTTATTCATGAACGTAATAACGCGATCATACTTATAAAGTTTCAGTACGGAGGAAGGCTTAGTAGTTATTTTTTGTCACGAATCTATATTCAGATAAGGCTATAGAAATGTACCGAATGTAACACAATAGAACCATCAATTAGTCAGCAAACACACTATCGCAATAAGAATTGAAAAGAAACATACCACATTTAATACAGCTACCACAAAAGGGATCGAAAGGAAAAAATACCACTTTTTATACAATAGAAAGCAAACATACTATATATAATACAAATTCTGCAATTAGCCTTGTGAACAATATAACAGTTTTTAACAGTTACCACAATGGTGGTCAAAATGTAACAAACCACATCTAATACAGCTACCACAATAAGATTGGTTAACAAACATTGACTACCACAATCAGAATTATCAGCAAATGCACTGAACTACATGCACTACGATGTGGTTGGGGCTGCAGAAGCGATAATTTTAGTATCTATAGGTGCCTAAATGATAATCCTTGTCTCTACGCTCTCAAAATGGACTCTTTCTTCAAAATAATTACATCTATATATTAATTTTATTGAAATGATATTTATAAAATGTACACTATAAATAAAGAACGTATCCTGGAACATTTAAAGTAATAATGATGACGCTGATCAAGTTACAAGTTTTGCATCTTTAGCCATACTATAAAACACACTGTCATTATCTTCTATTAAACTCTGTGGTGAATCAAATTCTATAATCTCGCCGTTATCTAACACCAAAATTCTGAAATGAATCATTAAATATATGTTATAAATACAGTCTAGATTATCCGTGAGCATCTCCACAATATCAAGCTATTACGAACTCCTCATTGACATTTTTTTTAAATTATGGAATGCAGCGATTTGATTGGCCCGTAAGCCGGCTAATACAGCCACTCAGAGCTCTCGATAGAAAGCCTGTATAGACATTTTATGGCTTATTGTTCACAATCTTTCTGTTGAGAGCTCTGATTGTTTGTATTCGATAACACACAATCCAATCAAATCGTCGCGTTTACAACTTTCGTGATACAAGGAAGGTGACTATTGCACTCAAGGTATAGACGCAACTTGACATTGTGAAGTGTGATGATGATCTCTGAATTATTCAATTTTATTTCAATAAGCTCTAGATATTTCACTTAATAGTTTTCTGTGAGTTACTTCGGTGTTTTCAGGGTCAAGGACTTCATTTATGATGGTTTTTAATCCCTATGAACAGGTCATTATCGTGAAAATTGAACTAAATTGAAAATGGCCGCCATACTTGATATTCCGAATACTATTTTTGTCATAACATTGCTTCTAGTGCACCAATAGACATAATCTTCAAGTGTTACTTAAATCGTAACACATAATTTTTATCCAAAAAATGTTTTCACAAATTCTGGTGTATGTCAGTATTGGTGTCAAAAATAAAAAGTTAGTAATTATGACAAACAGTCAAACAACATCTCTTACCACCAGTCCAACAACATCTCCATCTCGGCCCAACAACATCGACGACACCAGTCCAACAACATCATCGATTGATGATCTGGTAAAAGTGGACTGTTTGTAGGAAATGTTGTTGGATTGTTTATTTTTATGCGATGTTTAAGGACTTGTAGTGGGGGAAGTTGTTTGATTTATTAGTAGGAAATGGTGTAGATTTGGTAGTGGTTGTTCGACTGATAGTAGGGGATTTGAAAGACTGGTCGTGGGGGATGTTTTTGAACCGGAAGTAGGGGGTGTTCAAAGATGGGTTTCCTTATACTTTTAGTGTCAAATTAGGTAAACTATTTGATTAATTGGTGTTTCTAATGAATTATCCTGTATTCTTAATCATATCATTATGTTCTTATTGCATATAATTAAGAGTTTTATAAATGTTCATGTAGGTACAGTCTGGATAATAAAAAACTTTTTGCCCCTGCTTGATTGGTCACTCATTGAAATTCTGCTGGTAATTCTCTTTTAATTTAGTTAATTATGAATTGATTATGGACATGTGAAACAAACTGGTACTTTTCCAAGTCATTAGAACACCTCTATTTTCTATTCATGAATATAAGTATTCGCATTTTCATTAATGAAAATAGAGTAGAAGGAATTGTAGTACTTGTAATAGATGTTTTTCGACTAGTTTTGGGGGATGATTCAGAATTGGGTGTAGGGAGTGTCATTGGACTAGTATTACAAAAGATTATTAGACTAGTAGAAGCGGAGGTTGTTGGACTGTTTGTTATAAGTACTAATATTTCCAGTTCAAGTAATAACAAACTTTACCAACATCAGAATTTGTGAAACAATTATTTTGATAAACGCAACAATGATTAAAGTTATACGGGACTTCTAACGATTCTTACTGAGTATTGTATATCTTATTTTGATACAATTTAAATTTCGCGATAATAACCTCTCTACAGGGGATAAAAACCATCATAGTTCCTTGACCCTGAAAACATGTCAAAATTATGTCTGTTGGTGCCATAGAAGCACAGTTATGACAGATATAGTACTCAGCATATCGAAGTGCCAAAGTGGCACCCGGTGGAAATGTGTTCAGAAGCGTTATCTGAAGTAGAAAAACAATAAAGCATTGTATATACTCCAAAACATACTTTCATCAAAATCAGGTGTCCAGACTATTTTGCGAAATTCTATTAAAAGTATTTGTACCATTTGTTACAGTGGGCTCAATAGGTGTGCATGAATTATTAATCAACAACGTCATGGGTCAATTGGAAATATTTTACTATGATAAAGAAATATGATGTACGTCTTTTAATCAGATTGAAATAATGTAGTCTGAAATAAATTATTTAATATAAAGCACTCTGTTTGGATGTATATCAACTCACACGTCACACACTGTTTAATATTTCATTTTCTAATTTGTACGTCGGATGTTTGATTAGTTAAGGGAGTTAGTTAAAGTTATTATCAATGCCATGGTCATGATTTATGAACAACATTCGAATCAGTTGGAGGAGGAAGGAAGGTGGTTCTACCCACCTCGCAAATCAAAGAACTGAGAATGGTCAGGCTTTATTCCCCAACACTAAACTGTTTGACCAAGCCTCCTCAGCTCCATAATAATGATCCATAGAAACATCACAGATTCTGTACACGTCATTGTACTTGATACAATAATATTGACATTCCTATTCCCGAATGATATAAACGAAATCATTAGATCAATTTTATTCAAAAACACTCCGAACTTTAGACATACCGAAATGTAATAAAACTGCTATGATGAGAACATTTCAATATACAGCTTCTTTACTTTGGAATTCATTACCACAAACTGTAAAACATAATCCTTCTTTATATACATTTAAACAAGAACTGAAGAAGTTTGTTCTTACAGACAATACTGATTAATTGATTCCATAGCATTTATAACTAGTCCTTTTGTTTTTCTTACCATTTCATTTTACTTAAAAAACTTATACCATCATATATATCATATAAGAAACACAGTGTTTACATTTTTATATTTTTCACCACATCCGTGATGCATTGTAAATGTATATATGTTTTATGAAAGTTTCTGTATTTTTATTATATACTTAGTATATAATTCGCAGTTTCGTTGGGAAACATAGTGGTTACATTTTCATATTTCTTTCCTCATTCATTTTACATTGTTAATGTTTATATGTTTTATGTTATTTTCTGTGATTTTATTTTTTCTGTAATCTTGTATATAATTTGTAGTTTAGTGGGACCTATTGAAAATTAGACTTCTGTCTAAATGGGTTGCCAAATAAAGTTATTATAAGTTCTAATTATTATTATTGATAAAAATTGTGGATTGCTACCTACAATCAAAATACACACTGGGGTGTTTTGCATTCTTTTGTAGGTTATTCTTCCCATTCTCAGATCTGACGGCAATTTTATTCACTCAAGTTTGGTTGAACATTATGACACCATAATGTCAATTTCATTTACTGAGAAATAAAATATCACTGTCAATGGAAAAGAGATAATAGAACATAATGAATACATAATATAGACTTACTTGTCATAATCTAGAACAGTATTTAATCTATGTGCTATAGATAATACAGTAGAATCTTTAAATTCAGATCTTATCGTCTTCTGTATCAAATCATCAGTTTCCATGTCCACAGCAGCAGTAGCTTCATCTAGCACGAGAATTTTAGTTTTCCTCAATAAACTCCTGGCTAAACATAATAACTGTCTTTGACCAACACTGAAATTAATTTTATTCATTTGTCGATTTCAGTTAAGCATTGTGGTGTTTAATGGTAAAATATTATCAATTCATGGCAACAGATAATCCAAAACTTGCCTCCTTTAGATATATTTTCGACAAGGGTTTGTTTGAAAGGTTGGTAAGAGTAAGCATATTTGGGACCAGGTAATAAGGTACATGTTACAAACTTACCTAAGATTATTACCTCCTTCATCACATTCAAAGTTGAGTCCTTCTGGTAATCCAGATACAAATGTTTTCAAATGAGCATGTTCTAACGCCGTCCATAATTCTTCATCACTGTGTTCTTCAAATGGATCCAGATTCATCCTCAAACTACCAGTGAACAGTATAGGATCCTGGAAATGAATATCAACAGTCAACCCAGGTCACAGGTTTGACGATAGTAAAAGACGGGATCCCTTATTTTCATTTATGAAAATGAAAATGCTAATACTTATATAAATAGAAACTAGAGGTGTTCTAATAACTCGGAAAAATACCAGTTTGTCTCATATGTCTATAATGAATTCATAATTAGCAAAATTAGACGAGAATTACCAGGAGAATTCCAATGAGTGACCGATCAAGAAATGTCAAGAAGTCTTTTTTTTGTTTATCCAGATTGTCCATACATGGACATTTATGATTAATTAAAAGTCTTAATATATGCAATAAGAACATAATGATATGATTAAGAAAACATGATAATTCATTAGAAACACCAATTAATCAAATAGTTTGCTTTATTTGACACTGAAAAATAAGGAAACCCACCTTTAAGAGGAAAAGAGCATTTTTGGATCGAGGTCAATAGTGAAGAACATGTGCATTCAATTAACGAGAATAGCTAGAACAGAGAGGTTGTTCTTCGGCCAAATGATGGATTTTTCATATTCCAGGATGTTGTTTGGTTGTTAGATGACAAGTTAACTTTCATTTCAGCGGATGTTTATATCGCATACTAAGGAGTTGTTGTTAGTCAAGGTAATTGGTAATGGCATCGGTTGAATTTGATGATTCTGTTGTGTGGTCTGGTGTGTACGCCGAGCCTACATATAGTCTACCAACTTCAGGACCATAGTAATGTGTATCGTAAGCGACACGTCCGCTATTTGGTATTATATTATAATTCTGAGAGGTCTTCGATGGCAGGTTACACTCATAACTGTATTCTACTACGTTAAAATATACTCACTTGAGGAAGAATAGTGAGATTAGTTCTAAGATCATGTAGCCCTAACTTGGCTATATCAGCTCCATCAATAGTTATACTTCCACCAGCAGATTCTATGATGCGGAATATAGCCATGGATAATGATGATTTACCAGCCCCAGTTCTACCAACTATACCAATCTAAAGTGTATAACAATAATAGTAAAATAACCCTATATTATATGAAAAAATTGCAACGCCAGTAATATTGGATCACATATTTTCATACAGTGACCGAAACTATAGAATTGAGGAATCAAAGAATTCCTAAAACATCATCAATTATTCTTTAAAACTTCGAAGTTTCGGTCTGTGGTATAAAAATCCATATTCTATTATTCAGGCAATTATTTCACTCCGATTGATGTGAATAGAAGGCTGTTCTGGTTTTGTATTCTAGTATGTAGAGTTGAAGTAGTAAATTCATTTGGCTATTCGGGAGATCAAAGATTTCAGCTTGAGAATCTGAAAACCCGCACATCAAGTATCAATACAATTTTTCATTACCTTTTCACCACTCTTAAAATTAACTGTTAAACCTTTTAATACCAGTGGTAAATCATGCCTATATTTGGTTAGTAAATTGGTTATTTCTATCTCACCGCTATCAGGCCATGTATCTTTTGGCTTAGTATCCTGAATATACCAGTCGGCCTGAAATTTCAAGTTTGAAATTTATGAGTATTTCACCTTTGCGAACTGCAAAGTGTTTTCTTTAAAAAAAGTTTTTTTTTAGATTTAAAATGCGTATCGGAGAAAGATTGAGACCTTACTATTTTTATTTCACAAGCAATTGCCTAGTTCATATATCTTGTAAGTGCAGACAGGCCCGAAGCTGCAGGGGGACAATGAATGTTCCAACGACCAGAGACTGGGGGTACAAATGGGGGATAGACTGACTCAATGGGGGGAAAACTGCTGAGGCTGAATTCAAATTTTAGCTTCTCTGCGGTGGAGTCATAATCGCAAGCCTCTCATAGAGCGTCTAAGAGGGTTCTCTCACGAAGATTTTAGAAAATAAGAATAGATTTTGTGCATTCCGACTGGAGAAAAAAGGTAGACATTTAGATTTGTTGAAAATAAAGCGTCGAGTGTACGGTGGAAACTGAAGCTAATGTCCCAAAGTCCCAAGAGTAGACTTGTATTCCGTCAGAAAAGTCATTACGACATTCTCAACAGTTGAAAAGGTTTCTTGCTTTTTAATGTACAGATATTTATTATATTAATGGTAATGATGCAAAATTGTGCACCAACCTCTTGTTCTTTTTCTGAATACTCCACAATTCTCTCTACGGACACGACGTTAACTTCCAGTTGTGATGAAACACTGACCATCTGGTTGAGCATAGCTGTTACCTGAAACCACGCAACGATATTATATGGATATGAGCGTCTAAATACTTAGCTTTAGCTTCATAATAGACTACTATATACTCAGTAAAAGTATTCTTCGTATGACGCAAATATTCTAATTCAGCATCCACAGGCCGGGAAAGACTGGTGATGTTGTCCCTGGGGTACTTAAATCACCACCATATAGGTATCGCCCACAGCACGTCTGTAAACAATAAGCCATAATTTTACTAGTCTGTCTGTAGGAGTGGCCGATTGGCTGGTTGGCTACCATACTCTCCAATCAAATTGCAAATTGGTGGTATGGTCCTTTGTATTTGCGTTTTCTCCAACAGCTTACCTGCAAAGCATATGTTATTGATAACCCTGCGTCACTTCCTGTCACACCAGGCATAAATACTGCTAATAAAGAGGCGGATAATACTGTAATGTTACCAATAACCTCAAGTCGCATACGCAGCCATCTAAAATAATAAAAAAATCATTAGGTTTACTCGTAGGTTATGTTGAGACACAGGAAACTCGATCACACTATATAATTTTCTATCAAGGTAGGCTTACGAATACACATATAAGAACGAATAAAATAATATATACTCATACTCTAGGAAAGCAATATGGAAAAGTACTATTAAGGTGGCTCAACAAGTTTCCTTTAATAGCTTTGGGAAACGTTTATTTGTAAAATAGTTTTTAAAACGTTATTGAATGTTTGTTTGCCTGACGAACCAGATGAGATTGTTCTATAACCTTACCTGCTGATAACAGAGGAAGCAAAATGAAGAGCATTATTCCTATCCATCTTATCCTGGGATTGTTCCCTAAATTTATCTACCACTGAATATGCTCTAATAGAACTGGCTCCAGTTATAGTTTCAGTGAAATGGGAATACAGGGGTGATCTGGCTTTTGATTCATTCCTCCATAGCTGTCGAGATGTAGGAATATAAAACCTCTGTAAATTAAACATACATGCTTCAGCTTGTTAAAATTCAAACAGAAGGAGCTTCAGAAAATACCATGTTGTTATACTCGATTTTAATTTAAATGTTTAGGCTTATTACTAATCCATTATCCTCTGTCCTCTAATGGCAACTACGATATAGACATTTACTGCAATACCACATCAACGGTATTTGACGTTCACCCTCATAGTTTCCTGATTGGGATTTTAATGACAATGGCGTGTTTGTCTTGTAACTCCAACAAAGAATTCGATAACTGTGTTAGAGTTTTATTAGCCTAAGAATTAAAGTTGGTGTTACCTGTATAAAATAATATACTATAAATATCGGAACAGCTGGTGCCAGAAACCAAGGAGTACTGAGCGTAATGACCACAATTATGCTCAACACAATAAACAAACTATGCATAAACAGACGGAATATCTGATTTAAACCAGTGTCCAAAATGTCCACATCTTTTGAAAAGCGATTCATGATTCGTCCACTTGGTGTTGTGTCAAAAAAGTTCATTGGTTGGCGGAGGATGTTTCCTAATAAATAGGCGAACATGATTCCAGATACTTTGACCATGTTATAGAATAGCACAGCTATATAACCGAGAGATGCTAGAGCTGAAAATATATTCATACAACAGTACTAGACAATTGCTGCGAATTGCTAATTTCAACGGAAGATCCGCTGGTACCATTTCACGGTAATTCCAGAGGATAGTTCATCATAGTACAAAAAGTACAAAAATTATGAGTTTTTTTGCATTTCGTACAAGACATTTTATAAATTTTAGTCGGCATAGTTTCGCAGATTTGAAACATACCAGTTCACAAACTGCACTGAAACTCAGGATCTTGGCCTTTCTCATCGTAAATATCCCAATATCAGTGTATTCTGTGTGAAATACTAAAATATATTTACCTTGAACAACCGCAAATACAGAGAATATTCCTAGATAATAAAAAGAATTGAAAGTGACGTTTCGACCATGTTCCACCAAGGATAGATTACCCTGTTGGTTGGACTCGGTCCATATACCTAACCAAATATTACTACCAACAGCTGAGCATTGAGCTAGTAAAAATAACATCAGGGTCACAAGGGATATCCGGATACCAAAGTGACGAAGATAACTCTTGATCACTTTAAAACGTATCTGAAGCAGAAATAAGAAATAAAAAGAATGAATGTAACTATTACTATCAAAATCAGTAGCAGATATGAAGAGAGCCCTACAATTTAAAAAAGGGTACTTTTTGTGTCCAAGGTCTGAGATCTAACGATTTGATTGAAGGGGTTCGTATTCGCCAAATCTTGATAAAAATCAATAAAAAAACATGCTGAGTTTCATGCTTTGCGATCTTCAGACAACTGATATATATATATATATATATATCTATGGATGCAAACTTAAAATAGCCCACCTTTCCCTCTTCGATAAACTCCTCTTCCACTAGCTCTCCTAAATTATGTATACTGGTTATACTTCCTATATTCTCTTCTTGTTGAGGCATACCTTCCATCTCTACCAGGTTGTCCACACTGATTTAGTACAAATAATAGAATTTCAAAAATATAATTTTTCTGCTAAGCTTTTGTAACATGCTGCCCAGAGCAGTACTAAATGGGGGAATATTAAAGAGCTCTTTAATTCTCGTACTCTTTTCAATTTGTTATCATCAATTGCTATAGTCGAGCCCCGAATGACTATATCCTATTTCAGTGTCAATCTTGTACTGGGGGACATCAGAGTTGGCGATAAAAACGTGCATATCGGACCTGTTTTTGGGACAGTCATATGATTCTTCGGGTTATTGAAAGGACAATGAAGCTCCATTTAATAAACACAGCTGGTAAATTGGCATTATTTAAGAATGAAAATGAAAGCATACAGCTATATTATTAATTTGCTTACCTATTGGCATCCACAATTGAATCACTATCGGTATTTTGACAGGAAACCGACGAGGTTGTAGAATTCATGCGTAATAGCGACATGGTTTTGAGAGGATCGACTGGAGCTACAACAGACAATAGTAAATTGTGATCATTATATTGAATAACAGGTCAGTTTGTTCCCGTTTCTAGCGAAGGGTACATGAGATACATTCTCGACATTTCAGCAGTGTATCATCGTAACAGAGTGAGTCAGATTTCGATGCCTATATTCCATTTTACAAGCTATTTCATATTACATTATGATTCTGCATAACAGCTTATTTGCCCCTGTCATGTTAAGCTAACATCGGTTCTCGGTTTGATTTGAAAGCCCAAATGTCTATCAGTAGATGTCTATCAGGGTCTTGAAAATGTTAATATTCCATCACATACCTTCCTTGTCTTCACTTATCGTATAGGTCTTCACAAACTGTGCAAATGGTCCACTGTGATTCAGCAATTCTTCATAAGAACCAACTTCAGTTATCTGTCCTTGGTCGAGGACTATTATACGATCAACCAACGGTAACCAGTGGACACCATGGGTAACTAGAATCCTAGTCTGACGAAAAAAAATGGAATAATAAAGGATAAGAAAATATTATAGCTCAATATCTTGAGGACAACCGCCTAACAAACTAAACATACGGTTGTTCCATATCTTGAGAACAATCATCCAAAAACAAAAATGCCATAAAAGTTTTCTGATTTGTATACCATGTAATGCAACTTACCTTGTTTTTGAGTATACTTTGTTTACCAATGACATGTTTAAAGATATGTTTACCAACATGTGTATCTACAGCACTCAGTGGATCATCCAATAAATAAATATCTTTATTACTGTAAACAGATCTTGATAAACTGACTCTTTGTTTTTGGCCACCGCTTAAATTAATACCCTAAAAAATACAATACATGTATTTTCAATGTTGTAATGGTTTGATCAATCTGAAAGAATATCTGACGCTGACTATCAATTCATATCAGTCTTTGGGACAGTGCTTTAGAAATGAGATAGAAAGTTTTTTGTTTTTAATTACACCAATGAACAACTTAAAGAACAACCGGTTAAAATTGAAATTGTATAATAAAACCAAAACTATCTCATCTGATTTACTATTCACTATTTATAATAATACGTCAAAGTGGGTAAATCGACTTTGGCGTAAAATAGTGCGTCTTATACACACAACTATACGGTATTTGATTAGTGTATTTTAAACTTACTCTTTCGCCAATTTCTATTGATTCACCTCCTGGAAGAACTTTCAGATCTGAGTCTAAAGCGCAATCTTTTAAAATCTGCCAATAATCTTTGGTTACTTCCCCATCAAATAATATATTTTTACGTAGAGATAAGTTCTGTATCCAAGCTTGTTGTGGCACATAAGCTATCGATCCCTATGAATTACAAAACCAAATCCATCGCTGTAACTAAGGCTTTTTTTCTTTGAGGCAAAATGTTTTTCGGAGAGTGGTCTGGTGGTTGTTACCTCAAACGGTAACAACCCTTGCCGTAGATATCAAATGCTAACTAACTGTAGTTGTATGGACGACGACGACGTTAATCCTTTTTTACACATATTACTTCAGTGCTTATTGAATATGAATCTGACCCATGGATTTCGTAGTTTCTCCTTACCTTGACATTGACCTGTCCTTGTAATTTATCCATTTCTCCTAAAATCGCTGATAATAATGATGATTTTCCTGCTCCAACACCACCTACAACAGCTAGCAGTTCTCCTTCTTTGACTTTCATATTGATACTAGAATTACAACACGGTCATATCATGTTGTATCATGGAAAAGAGGTGTCGCTGGGCCTGAAACTGGTATGGAGAATGAGGGAGGGGGATGAGGGTCCACAGTTTGTGTAACCATTATTGGGGGTTGTTTACAGTATGCAAAAAGAAAACTTAACTGCTTATAAAGATTCCCGGGAAGCTTCCACAAGCACCTTTGATTTCGGATGGATGGGAAATAAGAATAAAACAAACGGAAGCTGAATACTGACACACCAAAAAGCTTGTATTGATGTTAATGAAACTTACTTTTTCAAAGATGGAGGCATATCTCTATCCCATGTGAAGGTCCCTTCTGTAATTTCTACTGCGTTTTCTATAAACAAAAGCAGAAAATTTCTATTTTGGATTTATAACATGACGTAGAGTATTGGAAAGATAGCCTGTGAATACTGTGCAGTTATCTATACACTCAACATTCTTTTTTTCTGTAGCAAATCTTAACGATAGATACAAGATAAATATTATCTAGATTGGATACCTGTGTTTTGATTATGTCCACAATTCTTCTCATCTAAGTCACTTCCAGATAAATATTTACCTAATCTTCCTAACGATACTTGTGCCTACAGGAAAGAAATATTGAGAAATTATAAGAGAGAATTAAACACACAAAATAAAACCTGACAATGAGAGTGGCGTACGAAAATAATGTTGAAATAGCAAAGGAGTTGTTGCTAAAAAGGTTAGAAAGTTATAAATTAAATTTAATCATAAATCATGCTCAAGAAGTGGCAGCCAAGATAGCTAATCGGGCTGAATAGTATCAGCACAATCGGGCTAAAAGAGTATCAGCAAATTCAGTCAAAGAATATCAGCAAAATCAGGCTAAAAGGGTATCAGCAAATTCAGGCAAAAAGAGTATCAGTACAATCGGTCTAAAAGAGTATCACCACAATCAGGTTAAAATAGTATCAGCACAATCGGGCTAAAAGAGTATCAGCGAATTCAGGCAAAAAGAGTATCAGCAAAATCGGGTTAAAAGAGTATCAACAAATTCAGGCTAAAAGAGTATCATCAAAATCGGGCCACAATATTATCAGCAAATTCAGGCTAATTGAATATCGGCACAATCGGGATAAAAGAGTATCAGCAAAATTGTGGTAAAATAGCATCAGTACAATCGGGCTAAAAAAGAACCAGCATATTCAGGGATTTATTAAAGTGAGATTAAGGTACAAGTTACTTACATTAATTAGTGCAGATATGCACATTGGTAAATGATTTATTGGTATTCGTAATATATTAAATAATGATAAAGCTACAAACGCTGTTTCCGCGTCCAGATGCTGATTCTCAGACATTAATATAAACATGGCAAAAGTTGCTAAAGTAACCTGCAAGTATACATTAAAACAAATTGCTCACAATAAGAGAATTAAATTGAGGATTGTGTCCACTGTCCTGTACCTGTTTTTAGAGCCGAATCAATTAAGTTACCATTTTGCAAATGTTATTTAAGTCTGGGGTGGGCGGAGTTGAGGGGGTGGGGGTGGGGGGGGACTGGTCTTTATTCCGACTATCTACCTAGAAATATGAATAATCTATATCATCTCAATGTCGTTGTGTGAAAAAAATAATATTTTAGAGTGCGACGAAATGATACAGAGAGTATCTGCTGAAAACTTGGTCCTGGTAATCATCCTACTACTTTGGTAATCATCCTCGAAGAGATCTATGTTGTTAACAAATGACAATCTTATTTAAATTCTCAATGAACAGGGAGTGGATTTTTTTTTCCAAAAATTTAATAAGTAAATGTGGCTTAATCAATATCGCACTGAGATGGTTTTATTTCATGACATAAGACAATGGAATTTCTGAATGTATGTACTCAGTATCGCTCATTCAAAGTTGAAGAAAATAGAGGATGTTTTTGTTTATTTTGCCTCTGAAGATGTTCTTTAACAGTGTTTTGTTGCCTCGATGAATAGACATGGAAACTTGGGACATTTCGTACGAACTTATCGCCCTCAATTACACACTTAATAAGTGTTAAGGCCGATCATACACTTCAAACGTTGCCAAGAAACAAATGGGCAAACTCTTGCTTTTAAGGAGTGTTTGCGAAGAAACTATAGTTTTTAACTATAAAAGCTTTAATTATCATGGTTAAGAGATAAAGATACTAGAAGATAAAAGTGTATTCGTATCATTCATCAGAATTACAATTAAACAATTAACAATTAATATAAACGAACTGTATTGGAGTAACAATATCGATATTTTTACTATTTTACTGGAAGTTGAAACACAGACAAATTTTGGGCTTTGGGTCAGGATTACCTCCACTGATTACAGGAATTAAAAAAGTTGGTTTCAAATATTACCTAGCTTAGATTGAGAATATTTATTCATATAGGCATAGGAAGCATATTTTTAGTTGACGCAGGATCACAAATTGTCTCAGTTCGGTGTGACGGGGGTATAATTTGGTGATAATTCTAAACTTTTTCACAGATTTACAGCATTTCAGCTGTAAAGGCTGAGCTGAAATTTTAGACCGTAGCTCATACCCATTTTACAAACTACAAGCCGGATTCTAAACCTTGGTTTTCGTATCACTCTCGTTCCAGCAATGACAACATTTAAAGATAGCTTGCCAGGCAAGGTAATATACGCCCACTGGCAGCTTTGATTTTGAATAAAAAAATATTTGGCAGTACAGTAACAATCACCAGTATGAAATATCCAACCTTCTGTCATACACTTCTTTTGAACTCTTTAGGGCGATACTGAATAATATTGAATATTGCCCTAGTTCTGGAAAACGTGTCCAATCTTTAGCTCGTGAAAACACTAGAAGGCAAATATTCAATCTTCAGCGCAGTACTGAATAATAAAACCAAGTTTTGTCAAAATCCAACAAGAATCATGCTTTTTATTGTTGAAGAGCTAAAAATATAACAAGTTTTCAAGAGCAAGGGCAATAACTCATACGAAATATTTTTCAATTTCTCTGATTTTTATTAGGGTATATCCTTGGGTGATAACAAACACTCGTGCCAAGTTTCGTCAAAATCCGTCAAAGATTGTCCCTTCTAGAGTGTTTACAAGCTAAAAATTGAACGTGTTTTTTAAGAACAAGGGCAATAACTCATACTAAATATTTTTCGATTCTTCTGATTTTTAATAGGGTTCATCCTTTCGTGATTACGAACACTCACACAAAGTTTCGTCAAAATCCGTCAAGAATTGTGCCTTCTAGAGTGTTTACAACCTAAAAATTGAACGCGTTTTCAAAGATAGCTTGCCAGGCAAGGTAATATACGCCCACTTACAGCTTTGATTTTGAACATACATATTTAGCAATACAGTAACAATCACCAGTATGAAATATTCAACCTTCAGTCATACACTTCTTTCGAACTCTTTAGGGCGATACTGAATAATATTGAGTTTGAATTATTGCCCTAGTTCTGGAAAACGTGTCCAATCTTTAGCTCGTGAAAACTCTAGAAGACAAATATTCAATCTTCAGCGCGGTAATGAATAATAAAACCAAGTTTTGTCAAAATTCGGCAAGAATCATGCCTTCTAGAGTTTTTATGAGCTACAAATTGAACGAGTTTTCAAGATCAAGGACAATAACTCATACTAAATATTTTTTCGATTTTTCTCATTTTCAATAGGCTTTATCCATGGGTGATAAAAAACACTCAAGCCAAATTTCGTTAAAATCCGTCAAAAATTGTGCCTTCTAGATTGTTTACAAGCTAATCATTGAACGAGTTTTCAAGAGCAATAACTCATACTCAATATTTTTAGATTCTTCCGATTTTCAATAGGGTTTATCCTTAGGTGATAACCAACACTCAAGCCAAATCCGTCAAGAAGTGTCCCTTCTAGAGTGTTTACAAGCTAAAATTTGAAATTTATCCTTGGGCGATTACGAACACTCATACCAAGTTTCATCAAAATCCGTCATGAATTGCACCTTCTAAAGTGTTTACAAGCGTTTCAAGAACAAGGGCAATAACTCATAGTAAATATTTTTCGATTCGTCTGATTTTCAATAGGGTTCATTTGTGGGTGATTACAAACAACCATACCAAGTTTCGTCGAAATCAGTCAAGAATTGTGCCTTGTAAAGTTTTTACGAGCAATTGTGGACGGACGGACGGACGGACCGACAGAAAGAGGTGACGGCAATATACGCCCCCCATTTCATGTGGGTGTATAAAAAGTGCCTAGATAAATACCCTGATGTCTTACAATGGTCGATTCATAATCTGTACTATAATTCTTACACAAAATATTTAAATTTGAGGAGTATGTTTATAAGGTAAGGATGATTTGTGTCCAATATGATGATGATTCGAAATGTTTTGCTTCGAGTGCTGACACTATCATCACTATCATCACGAACTTCGTCTTATATCTTGACTACAATGGCCACTGTTCATGTATCGCGGAATGCAACGATTTGATTGACTGCATTTAGCTAGCGCTCAACCCAATCAAATCGCAGCATTTACAAACTTTAGGTGATCCAAGAAATGTGGCTATTACAGTCAAAGTATAAGACGAGTTGGAGTTATCTGCTAATACATTGTGTGACCATCTTTCTTACTTCTATGGTCAATTTCGGTTCTGATGGAAATGTACATTGATGGATGAATGTATATATCTGTGATCTTTCCTTTGTATGTTCCTGGATTCTTATTCTGTTTTTTAATTGAAAAGAAGGTTTTACTCTTATTTTCATGGAAGTGATCCATTCGATTTTTGCGATCCCAAATACTTACCAAAACTGGAACACCAATCCAACAAAATATAGTTGTAGCTGCGAGAAAGGCATTTTTGGTAAGTAGTCTTATTTCTTTTTGTCTGATTTTCATAATTTTGCCCTCAAATGACTCTTCCCATGCAAATAATTTCAAAACCTGAAATCAAAACGATTGTCAAATTTTTATATCTTGTCAGGTTACTATCACTGCGCATTTAAATTCCAGGGCATTTTTTTAATTGAACCAGAGCAGACTATAGCAATCAGTAGCAATGGCGATGGCTAAAGGACACTTAGACTGGGCAAAGATGATATCATTTTTTGTATAAAATAATGCAAACAGCAATTTCCTCTTCGCATTGTCTTGGTAGTATGTATTATTGGCTATGTCCGGAATAGGTGAGCATCCACAACTGTGTCGCTTTAAATGAGTCTCTGGATGAAGATTACAAATCGACGAAAACGGTTTTACCTTAATACCATTGAGAACTTCATTAGTAATTTTGAGTCTGGAATCCTTGATGGTCAATAGTTCGGAATGTATTTTCTTGGTGGCTGTGGACAGAACGGAATTAAGTGGTATGACCATTAGAATTACACCCAAACCAGCTACAAAGCTTACTCCCAGAGTTTGGTACAAAAGATATAGGGCTATGCAAATTTGCAGAGGGCAAGACCATATCATCCATAAAAACGTCACGATTTCTGAAAGTTTTTTACAATCGCCTGACACAAGATTGACTATTGCTCCAACTGTAAACATTTTTCTGGCATCACTGTTCATGGTTAAGGACTGGAATGAAAAAAATAAGTTTTTTAATTCAAAATGTTTAATATAGATCTAATATTCCTTTAATTACCCTACATCGTTTTTGGTTCCTGCTATTTCTAGAACACACATCACTATCGCATAAACAGTACGGAAGCTCATGGGAGAGAATTCTGAATGGAATTGAACACAAATCCCAGGATTTATCATTCTCAATAGCAGAATATTCAGAGTAATTATTCTCCTATTCCCCTAACATGGGTTATAATCAATATTGATTGGCATATAATACGAATTGGAATGGGGTCCAAAAACATAAGTGAAATATTTAACATGTAAATAACATTATATAATGTACAATCAAACTCAAGGCCGAAAATGACTGAGAGTGCAAAAAGACGAGGTACGGTACACTCTTCTGAAATGTTAATACAGTAGAAAATAGACGAGACGGCGCACCGACCACCTCATCTATTCGCGCTTTAATACTATTGACTCAATTTTCCGACATAAAAGCGGTCATAAGATTCGAACGGTGCTCTCATGCAAATGTGAATTACGTTCGGTAATCATGACCACTTCCATTATTCGCAACCATAAGCAACTGGTAATCATTATGGTGTGAGGGTACCTTTAGTAAACGCTTACCTTTCTGTAGACAGCGGCGACAAGAGCTGATTTTATATTCATAGCAAGATTTAAGCTTCGAAAGAAACTTTGATTATATATAGCAGAAGTGGTAAATGAAACTAGAGAGAAACCAGCAACATAAACATATCCCTTCCATTTTGATTCATTCCCACGGTTCTCTATGTAAGTAATCATGATCCTGAAAATATAGAACCATAGATTCTCGTATCACCCTAATAGTAATACCACAGAGACAGGCTTAACAGATGAAGTTGAGGGATAGGCATGGACCATGATACATGTTTATATTGGAATTCAATCTGGCGCTATCCGTTACTTGGATGTGATATACGGATGGGATAATGGCACGTTTAGGGCAAGACGAGCCCAAGGTGACTTAATCCAGCGACTTATTAGATTCTCCCAGATACAGATTACAGTAGTTGAATATCAAGTTGCTCCAAGATTTCCAAATCGACCCCACCCTATCCCCTTTTAATGGTTATGCCATTTCAATATCCTATTCCGGTTCAATGAGTTGTGGACTATTGTAGTTTGGTAGGTGTAAAAACATCATATACACGTAATTCAATTTCTCATACTTACTTTAAAAGCAAAGGGTTGATAAATGTCAGAAGATCTGAAATAACTCTTAATGCGTTTAGTTTAAACAGTGGAAACCAGTATGTTTTAACTAAGACTATGAACAGAGCCACAGCAGGGTGGTTGATGGTTCTGTGTCGTCTTTCATTATTGGACAACAGAGGAATGTCTCCATTTAGGCGATTGTTCTCGTAAGATTTCACGTGTTCTTTCTTAGTATCATGCCTAAAATATAGAAACACCAGACACCTATCTAAAACTGAAATGAACGTCATGACAGTATCTTTGTAAAATAACTCTTGATGCAATGTTACACTTGATCCAATATTAAACTTGATCCAATGTTACACTTGATCCAATATGCCGATAGTCCCTTTAGTAATTCTGTATCGTTTCCATGAATTATTAAGTGAGAGAGTAGGAACGACATAATAATCGTAAAAGGGGGGCTCACGGGCAATTTAATGTTAAACGACAAGAAATCTGAGAGTGGAAGGGGATAGTCTCCTTGCTTGGCCCCTATAGTGGCATTTCTACGAGGCTGTCCCAGCTTTGCCACCCCCCCCCCCCCCCCACTCTCCATAAGTAAAATGTAAAAAAATGACGCTAGAGCACAGATAGGTATGATGGACATTAGCACGGTCCCTAGCCTTTTTCTAACGAACAATTTCCGGCTAAAAATTAGCCAAATGTTAAGAACAAGGTCATGGATAAAGCCAGATGAAGGGTCACTTACTTTCTTCTCTCTTCTCGTAGCTTCTTATCCCAAGCGTTTAAAAAGGGAGGTGCCTGGTGTTTGCTTTTAAATTCTTCGGGTAAATCAAAAACATCTTCATCTTTAATAGGTTTCTTATATCCCTTTACAATCAATCTGTGGTATGATAAAATTGATATTTTTATATACATAGACTACCGGAAGTGTACATAAAGCAGCAGAAGTATAAACGTCCACCGGGATGGTTCAATGCTTTTGATTCAAAGGCTTGAGCTAATAAATGTGCGTAACCTTTTCAACCACATAATATGTGGATGTATTGTGCCATCGACATTAACAAAGACTAGATTATTAGGTGTTTTCATTAAAGTAACATGCTCAATAGTAAGATAGCCTTGTCAGGCAAGGTAATATACGCCCACTGACAGCTTTGATTTTTGAATAAAAATATTTAGCAGCACAGTAACAATCACCAGTATGAAATATTCAACCTTCAGTCATACGCTTCTTCTGAACTCTTTAGGGCGATACTGAATAATATTGAGTGTGAGTTATTGCCCTTGTACTTGAAAACGTATTCAATTTTTAGCTCGTGAAAACTCTAGAAGGCAAATATTCATTTTCCAGCGCAGGACTGAATAATAAAACCAAGTTTTGTCAAAATCCAGCAAGAATCATGACTTTTAGTGTTTAAGAGCTAAAGAGCTAAAACATAATAATACATACTAAATATTTTTCAATTCTTCTGATTTTTCCATAGGGTTCATCCTTGGGTGCCTACGAACACTCACACCAAGTTTCGTCAAAATCCATAAAGAATTGTGCCTTCTAGAGTGTTTACGAGCTAAAAATTGAAGGCGTTTTCAAGAACAAGGGCAATAACTCATACTAAATACTTTTCGATTTTTCTGATTTTCAATAGGGTTTATCCTTGGTTGATAACAAACACTCATGTCAAGTTTCCTCAAAATCCACCAAGAAATGTGCCTTCTAGAGTGTTTACGAGCTAAAGCGTTTTCAAGAACAAGGGCAATAACTCATACTAAATATTTTTCGATTCTTCTGATTTTCAATAGGGTTAATCCTTGGGTGATTACGAACACTCATGCCAAGTTTCGTGAAAATCCATCATGAATTGTCCCTTCTAGAGTGTTTACGAGCTAAAAATTGAACGAGTTTTCAAGAACATGGGCAATAACTTATACTAAATATTTTTCGATTCCTCTGATTTTCAATAGGGTGATCCTTGGGTGATTACGAACACTCATACCAAGTTTTGTCAAAATCCGTCAAGAATTGTGTCTTGTAGAGTGTTTACGTGGACGGACGGACCGACCGACGGACGGACATGGGTGACGGCAATATACGCCCCCCATTTCATTTGGGCGTATAAAAAGATACCTGTTGGCCCACATAAAAAATATTTTGGATGGAAATGATGCTGTTTGCATCGGACATGGTTCCTGAAATGCAAATCAACAAGAATACAGTTTAAACATCATCTTTAATTGTATTTCACGTACTGGTATATATTATAATCATATCAGTTTTCCACGCAGGCCTGTGTGTCACAGCTATATGTAGCACACACAGAACAGGGTTTTTCACAACTCCTTTTAAAAGTCAACGCTGTCATAGTCAAATAATCTAACTTCTTTGCACCAACAATATATGGATGAACGGGTGAGTTCATGGATGAACAATGATGCCTTAGAGTAACTTTCTTCGAGAATTTTTTGAAATAGCACTCTTTCGGGCGTACTACTACGTGATTTGAGTTTCTTTAGACAAGTTGGAACGGATACCACAACATTACTTATATAGGTGTGCCTTAAACGCAAACAATACTTTAGAATTCTTGCCTAGTGCAATTAGTGATCTGGTTTATATATGACTCGAGGAATATGTAGATTTTTACCTTTTGTTTCTCATCATGGACTGTGGTGGATTCAGAAAAACTATGAAGAACCAATTGTAACATCAATATTCCATAATTGATATAAAACAACACAAATTTAACAAAATTTTTTTCATACACCTAAAATAACCGTACAATCATTAAAGTAGGACATTTTACATATTTTCAGAAGAGGTTTTCTAGCCTATCTATGTATAATGGAACTCTTCCCGAATTTCCATCCGATGAATGCATTTCTTGTAAATTCGGGATTTCGTTTCACATACTTAAATACAATGCAAAGCCGGAGTGGCAATGTAGAACATTATACACTTACCTTCTGTACAATAAGTGTATAAAATGGTATGATATTTGCAACAATATAAAACAACCAAAATAAATACAAAAGACATGGTGAAGGCAAGCCAAATCGTCTTGAAACCTGACATAAAATGCCCGCTAGAATCTGCAAAATATGGTCGTGGTTATCAAAAATAGGCCAGAATCCAACAATTATAGAATGGTAAAAATATATTCAGAATGTATTTCAAAGCAATTTGAATGGATGACATCTGGGCAAACGCGATTACCGAGAAATCAGAACAGTGAGCAAATGTCAACAGAGCAGTCATCTTTAAATATACAGATGCAGGCTATGTGATTATGGCTGTTGACAGTATTTCATCAAAGAAATAAAAAATCACTTCTTATGGCTAATGGTGTGTTCAATATAAATCATTTCCTACAACTTGTTGGTGTATGTCTTGATCGAGTCCAATAGTTGACCTCTACCCCCTCTCCACCTTCCCAGAGCCAAAAAGAAACGGGTCAATAAGATATGTCACGAGGTGAGTGATAAAAGTACAAAGTACAAGTACAAAGAGGTGAAGGTTAGCCTACTAGATGTAAGAATCTCTCTCTTATGTCAATTAAGATACATAGATTCAGAAGGATTCAAGTTAAGTTTCAAATAAATCAAATAATCACTGAGCAGGGGTATTCAATTATTCATTATGTAGGGTGAGAAGGTATAAATTAAATGAGTTTAAAATGTGTTTTAATATGACAATATTGGAATGTGTTATTGTGACAGCTCTTTGTCTTGTTATATAAATTACAGTGTTAAACTTACAAATGTTATAAACTTGACTACTGTCGACACAATAAAGGCATCTGCTATTGAAACCTGGCTATTTATATAAGGATAAAAATCTATCAGAGCCAGTATAGATAATGATGCACACAACACCTGAAAAAAGCCAGTTCATATTCTACATTAAGCATAAATGCACCTCAAACAATAATTATTCCACATCGTGAACGCTATATTGATCCCTGGACATTGAAATCTACAGCTTTTAGTCATCTTCACAGTGTTAATGTATAACGAGCCCGGTTTCATACCTTGGCATCATAAGAAACATTTCTTTTATCACAGAATTTGTAAATGCAGAATTTGATTGGACTCGACAAGAGTAAATGCATTGTCTGTAGTCTTTCTGTTGAGGAATCTATGATTGGCGGTACTGATTAGCGTACAATCAAATCAAATCGATACTTTCGACAACTTCTATGACATGTTAAGTGTTTGTCGTAATGCCTTGACATTGAAAAGGTGGATTTTAGAAAAAAAAATTGTAGTACACAACATGATGTTATCAAACTTCGTTAGCCCGATAAGGAACAGAAAATCAATCTCATTTACATTTCATGCCCATTTCAAAAATATTACAATTAGCTGACAATTTTTCATGATAATATCTCTTGGCTTACCACACAAATTGTTGGTAAGTATTGAGAAAACTGACATAATCATTACAATAATTACCGTTTTACATATGCTAAGCTTTCCCAAAGGCAGTGGTTGGGGATTTTCCAAGCGTCGTAAATGTTGAAGAAAGACTGGCAAAGTTAGCCATAAGAATGCACATGGCACCCAAACTAGTATGGTATGTTGAAAACATTCGGTGAACTCGGGATAGGAACTCTTTGAAAACCGAGTAGAATTCTGAAAAATATAATGAACGTTTGATTTTTATCTTGTTTTTTTCCATATTGATTTGATCGTCATTTTTACTTACATAACAAAAAAATGAGACATGGGACTTATGAAACCCGATACACTATTAGTCCACGAGCGAAGGTTAATATATTCGCCTTATCATCTTATGTCAAAAATAGAGGACATAAGTTTGAAACTCAATCCTAATCTAAAACCTTTATCAGAATTAGCTGACGACCTTAGACGTAGATTTTCTGACCGATTGTAAACCATTTTCTAAACCTCAATCTGAATTAGGCCTATTGCAAACTGTAAATTTAACCATGACGTAAACCCTTAGTTTTCATCAAATATTTCAAGAGAAGGCTAGTCAGGAGCAAAAGATAAAAGCCAATCCCATGTGAATTGCACCAGGACGTGTAAGATATGTAATTGTTCGTTTGTCTTAATTTCATCTCCATTTAATTGAAATCGACCTAGATTTGAAATGAATATTTTGTTAAACTACTCTAAAGATACTCTTTCTTAGGCCTACTTTATCGTTTTGTCTTTTTCTTGAAAGAAATTTACAACCTTTTCATTGTTAATATTCATTTTATTTACACATGCATATTTTTATTTTTACATAATAATGTACTCGAAGGTTTATTGTATATTATAGCATAATAATTTGTAATCAATTGGAGAAAAGATTATCTCAAAATTATTCATGTTAAATTAATACATCATGTTTAGATAAGATGGCATCAGTTCGAAAATATTAGGCACCCTTCTGTTTAGCAACCGAATGATGATATGATATGCCTACATACCAAGTTTCATTAAGATCAGATAAAATCTGCAGCCCTTATCGTGTTTACAAGTCAAATTAGATGCATTTTTACTTCATCAAGGGCAATAACTCAAAAAAGGTTCACTCAAAACGAACTAAATTCGAACTTGACCGCGATCTAATTAATATATACCTGTATACCAAGTTCCATTAACATCGGATAAAAATTGTAGCCTTGGTCGTGTTTACTACCAAATTTAACGCATTTTTACTAATAATTTTCACTAACAGTGGTGTAACCTATTTTCGTGCATATAAGGATTTTCTTTATGAATCCCTCACTTTGACCCATATATCATGAGTAACCGACTCGACATCGGCGGCAAAATGCGTCACCTATTTTCGTGTACAATGTTTGATCTATACATAAGTTGAGAAAAACACGTTGTATGGATACCCAGTGGTATAATTAACTTCTCTTAGTATTTATCTTTAATACCTATTCATTATAACTAGTGACAATTCCTTCAAAGAACCATGATTTAAACAAAAAATAGTGACTGACAAAATGAGCTACGTAGCATGATTTATTGCTAAAAGTCATTGAAACAACATAAGAATATGGCCCACATTGTGTTCCATAGAACTTTTCTGCTGACACGGAATCTGCTAGGTGATCACGTGACTTCATTCGTTGGACTTCATTCTAGCAGACCATGCTTGGAATTCCAATACAGCTAAGGATTATAAGAAAATTCGGCCGATAAAAAATTGTGACGTTTGGTAATAACTGAAATCCGCCATTTTGTATTTGTCAAAGTATACATTAATACATTTTACCGTGCTTGAAACTACTGGATTCATTCTACTAGCTGTTATTGTACAGATAACCCATGTTTATCAAACCAAGCAATTGTAGATGTCACGCGAGGTCGCACATGTGAATTATTAATCATTTCCGGAGATGCACAAAAAAATAGGTTAGCACGAAATTAGGTTACTGTATAAGTCAAGGCAATAACTCAAAAAACGTTCAACCAAAAAATGAGCCAAATTCGAACTTGGCTGAGATCTCATTGATATATACATGTATACCAAGTTCCATTAAGATCGGATAAAAAATTGTAGCCCTTATCACGTTTACAAGCCAAATTTGAATAAAACAAAAGGAAATAGCTCAAAACTCGAAAATTAGTCAGAATCGAACTCATAGAGACCATAAATCTGCCTTATTGGACTTGGAATACCATGTTTCATTAAAATCAAACTCAACAACCTATGGTTTCTGTGGTGTTAACACTTCACAAGTTAACTGACAGACGGACGTCCGGATCCGTACACAAGTATTCATCGATTGGTTTAAAGCAGACGACTCTCTTTAATACTGCACAACCTTTCTATATGCTTATAGTCATCTAAAGAAGATAGCACTTATGCAAGTCAGTGTGTGTGTTCGTTCATTCAAGCTTTAGTGGCCTAGCTAATCAAGAAAACCTTACCCAGAACTCGGATCCACCACAAAAATTGTCAATTTCTATCATGGTCATAATTTAATATCACCAAACAAATTATAAGCTGTCCTAATTATGATCATAATTTCCTCACAGCAAAGAAAAGACTGTTGTTAATCCGATTTTCTAATTTATCGAGTGTTCATGACACAACCAGCTGACCTATACTACATTTCGTCTTGATAATCTCGTCTAAATACAGTCATGGTTTTCCAGATTGTCTAAATATAGAAGCTATGAAAGTAGATTAGAATGGTACTTTGTCGAGTAGGCCTACAAAATGCATCAGGATGGGTCAAGTGTCCATTACGGTACATCTAATTTCACCATAACATTATATTGAGAGGATTGTCACTTGCTGACTTGGTGTTTTTAAACTGATAATGATATCATTCTATAGATAAGAAAACACTATCTTATTTTTGAAGATAATTGTCTGCAGATTAATGAATCGTCTGCTAGCAAAAATAAACGATTAATAAATTAATAATTGCCGTAGACTTCAGTTCCAATCCTCGCCGGGTAACTAATTATGTATGCGGACGGCTAGGTCTAGATCTGATATCATGTGATTAATTGAGTAAGTCATACTCATAGTCAGAGCAGACGCAGACAAGTAATTGAAATTGTATCTTTGGTATTACTTATTGTAGCTTATTTTCATCTCATTTCTCTTCCATCAATTTGACCTAGACCATTCAGAGCCTTGGAAGAGCAGAGAGAATAGATAGATCAGATACTCTCTGGCAAGAATCAAAAGTCATTTTCAGACGTTCGTTTGCAGTCTTATAGAAACTATGCAGTTAACGTATTAAAGGGAGGCTAATATCGTTTTCAAACAACAGACTACAAATAAAATTTCCGCCAATCTTCGATAAATTTACGGAACTTGACGAAGAATAATTTGTAGATTTTATTATTCAAAATGGCGGAGCAAGCGTCGTCTCCAAATGAAAAGCAAGGTAATAATTGACATTTTTACATATTCATATCCTTTTTATGCATAATGTATATTGTCAGTTTCATTAGACAAATTAGCCGGACCAATTAACTAATTGTCATGTAAGGCCGAGGTCAGGTTTCGATGAAATAACACCATCATGTTCGAAGCGAGATTTGAAAATGGCAAGACTGTCCTTATTTTTTGTCTCTAATCGTGAAATGAGTGCTTTGGATTGCTTTGTGCTGTGTTAAATTTTTTGGGTCACATAATTGTCATTGGCACCTTTGCAAGATATAAATGAACAAACAAATACCATATCACGTGAGTCTACAATTTAAATGTTCTTTGACTGCAATGGATGTGGCCTTGCCTGATGCCAGAGAATTTCTGTTATCAGGCTAGGACTAGGCTAACTATCAAACTTATACAGGCCTAAATTCCGTCTGATTCCTCAATTGCTTTGATATAGTCAATGTAATTAGGTCTACCTAGTATTAGCAGAACCTACTAGTGGTAGCCTTTTATGGTCTCTGGCAAGGGGTAATAACATTGAAATTGAAAAAACTCTAAGCTAGGACAAGGTAGGCAATAAACAACTTTTAAATACTTATTCAATTAATGTGGACTTTTATTTGGGCTAGCATTAGGCTTGTAATTATATAATAGTTTTGATTAATAGACAGACATTCTAAGCTAGGCTAGAGCAGAGAGTTGTAGTGATAGTACAGGTTTGGGTGTCTAGGGCTACCCTACTGAGAAATACAAACTAAACAGGTGCCCCCTTTTATAGTAAATCTTAAAGATTACAAGTACAACAAAACAATTTACAGATGAATGGTTTTAAATTCAGTGCTTCAAAACACATAGTAAAAGAGGGAGATATACGTATAGAATATCAGATTCTCAATTAGTATTTGTATAAGCTTATGCTTATTCATTCATTTAAAAAATCCTTTTTAAGAAGCTCTATGGCTTGACCAAATGAGATTCAGTGATTGTAAGAAAAACTTTATTTGAATTTTCTCAAAAGAATAAGCTCAAGATTAGATATATTCCATTAATGTATGCATAGATTGTCCTTAAAATGTTAAAAGGTGCACTGTTGTTTTTTGTTTGTTCGTGGAGATATTTTTTTTAATATAAACAATATTATAATACTTTCAGGTAACAATGGAGTTAATGCCCCTAACATGCTAGGAATATCTATGCAGGTACAGCAAGCTCTACAGAATGCAATGCAGCAACAACAACAAGTTTCCAATCACAGTGATGTGAAACCAGTTCTCATTCCAGCTCAGGTAAAATTATTTTACATAAAAGAAAGGAATATATCTGATTTGACAGTATTATAATTGAAAGACTAGCTAACCAGAATAAATGACAACTGGATGTGACAAAGATTAATTCCTGGTATTTTTGATTTAATCCAGATTTTGGTTTCAACTTAAGTAGCTTTAAAGCCATTGTCAGAAATTTTCTCATTGTCCAGAACAGATTAGTTATGACTTTTTCTCTGATTAATTTTTCAATGATTTTAAAACTTTTAAGCATGGCAATGTGATAGGTAGTGATAAAGAAAATAAAAATGGGATTGTTGGGAGATATTCCAGCTTTTTTGTATGTGTATTAGGGCTACATTATGCCTTTTTAGAATCATTTCAAGTTTCTGTAAGATATTTTTGGTGCCTTTTACTACATAATAAATACTTTTGATAACCATAAGGGTCTTTGTTATAGCCATATTATAAAATCAAAAAACCTTTTTACTTCTGACTGAAAATTGGAATTTTGCAAATCCATGCTATAATTGCCCTTGTACCTGAACACAATTCAATAGATGTAAATATTGTAAAGTTTGTAGTTAAAAACAGTGATAACTTTTGATCCAAACTATCTTTGACAAATAAGTCTTGAAAATTTGATGAAATGTATTATCCTTTAATTGGAAAAAACAGTACCGTATGCCATAAATAATGTAAGCTTATAGAAGTAGAGAGACTTTTTTTGAATAATATTTATGGGAGCAATTAGATATTAAGATTCAAAACACACCTAGTAAATAATACAATACATTCTCTAAATACTTATATCAAAATAAGTATGAATTATTCATGAGGTCACATGGTATGGTAATGAGTTGTTGTGTACTGAGTGTGTACAACAGAGTTATATTGACCCACTGGTGCTATACAGTGTAGTCTGTTAAGCAGTATGGCTGACATCAGTACTGAAGGCAGAATTCATCAAGTTACCAGATCAATATTCAAAGACTCTCTAGACTTGAGTTGAATTTAATGGGGAAATTTCAATAATATTCACACAAGTCTCAGAATATTTGCATATAGATAGAAAAACCTCTCTTATATTACTAAAGTGAATATCAAGTGTGGATAATGAGATGCAAATTTTATTCGTGGGGTCTTCATTTTAATGTCAAATGAAGATAAGGTCATGCATACTAATGAGATGATTTGCAAATGAAGGTGAATAATGGATATTCTGTGTGCTCTATTTACATATATTGTGTATATGGTTGAATATTGTGTATGTTAAGAAGTGATTTTGTACTGTAGATCATATTACTATGTTGTTACCAGTCATACAGCCTTGTGTTAGTGTTCTCTGTCAGGTAGTTACCTATTATTCTATTCTTTCTCTCTTCGATGGGCAATGTAGCCTGCAGCTTGAGGATACTCTTTCTAGTCTGTCTGTTATGTTTATTAGTGTCTGGATTTATTTAAAAGATTTTTACGTAAAAGGATGAGTTAGCTTGGGAATTGTGTGTTATGTAAGTAGAAAAAAATAAAATTATAGCCTATTTTTGACAGAATTTGAATCATATCAATATTTTTTAAAAAGAATGAGGTGATTAAGAAACCTAAATCCTCCACCTTTCAAAAACCTGATTGAAGACGATTTAATCTCTGCCAAGTTCTTTTTGCACAATTTTGTTCTTTTGGTGGTGAACAAACGCTGAAATTTGAATATGAGATGTATGATTTATAGTATTTTCTAATCAGTTTTCAGAAAAAAAAAAAAAATTTAAAGGTCATCAGATAAGACTGGCAAAAAGAATTAGATGGCCAGTTGCAGAGAGATTTATATGTATTTATACAAGTCTTTTTTTAAAAGTTGTTATCTATACCTGTATTAATTTTAAATTGTCCAAGAGTGTTTTTGTATCACAATCAAAATAATGTTTTATAGCAGGCCATTTGAAAAAAAACAATTCTTCTGTACCAAAGTAATAAATCCTGTGAAAATCATGCAGTTATTTTCTATTATAAATTAGTAGGGTACATTTCTACATATTGAAGAGTTATTGTGAAATGTTCAAAAATTTTTCATTAGTCTATTTCTGGGTCTTTTCTCTTGGTATGAAGATGGTGAGATAACTGAACTCTTTTAGATTAAGATCAATAGGTCATATCATCCATATGATGGTAGACTGTATTTAAAGTTGAATGAACCCTTAGGATTACCAAAAAATTCTAAATTTTAAAGATGAGTTGTTTTATTTTCATTTATGAAAATGAAAATGCTAATACTTATATAAATAGAAAGTAGAGGTGTTCCAATGACATGGAAAATACCAGTCTCACATGTCCATAATTAATTCATAATTAGCTAAATTAGAAGAGAATTACAAGCAGAATTCCAGTGAGTGACTATCAAGAAAGGTGAAAATGCCTTTTTTTTTGTTTATCCAGGCTGTACATATACATGGACATTTGTTATTGATTAAAACTCTAAATTATATGCAATGAGAACATAATGATATGATTAAGAATACAGGATAATTCATTAGAAACACCAATTAATCAAATAGTTTGCTTAATTTGACACTGAAAAATAAACGAAAACCATCTTTTAACTTTGCCAAAATGAGTCTCTGTTCATCAGTGGACTTACCTGATGTCAAAACTATACAACAGAATCTCTGTATAATCTAATAAATCAATACAACTAAGTAATAATTCATATACTATGTAATTTTGAAACCTGCTTAGAATTGTGTTTCAATCATTATTTTATTAATGGATATATAGTCTTATAGAGATTCTTATTTTAGTCATGGCATCTGGTAAGTCTAACTCATGAATATATATATATATGATATGTATATAATAAGCTTACTCTTATTGACCAATTTTGAGACTTTAAATTTTATGTCCATTCTAAAGGGTAGTATTCCTTTAATGTAAATGAGTTGCATTAGGTATTATTGAAAAGAAAAAGGAATTGAGAAGAAATATTATGTTTCTTAGTTGACTTCCATGGGACAGCTCACTATGTTAATTTTACAGATAGATAGATAGTTTGACCAGACTGAGCTAAATCTGATTGTTTTACTTATGTATTTGTGAACGTTTGTGAGAACAATTTTGAATAACAATTTTTATTTTTGTCAAAACTATTTTATACGAGAAATGAGCCTGCAGTTCCTAGTTGGGGGGAGGGAGCTGTTACACTAAAAGAAATATTGAAATAAAAATCAACAGTGATTGTTGAGGGTTGGCATTTTCATTGAAGACACTTTGCCCATTGGTTTACAGTCTTTGTTTGTTATTGGACATTTTGATGTATGAAAGACAAGTTAAAAATGTTTTTTTCAATGAAATTATTTTTTCTATTCTCTTTGTATATGTGAAGGAATTGTGCAATTTTCATACACTTCTAGTGTTTCAGAAGACTATTTGCATATATTCAAGAACCAAATCAACCCTCGGAAATGGCGAATTTGTCCCTTTAATCATGTACAGCTAATCATTTTAAATTTAACCTGATATTCTTATAGAAATATTAAATTTTCTAATCCGATATAAATGCAGGGTATAGTTTTGAAAAATATCCTTAAATATAAGATTGAATAAGATATTGAATCAGATTGTACATTTTGTAAATATGATATTTTGAAAGCTACTTTAGAGTTGAGCTTATACTTTCAGACAAGCAGTGAGAGTCACGGACTAGGAACACAGACCACAACCAATTCAGCAGCTGTAGCTCAAGCTCTACAACAGTTAATACCACAACAAGTTCCTATAGCCATGTCTACACCTGGTTTTATCTTACAGAATCAGTTTGGACAACAAACAGTGGTAAGTTGTTTCTAGTTTCAAATTACAAATTTAATATCATATTTTATTGAAAAAATATTTTGTGTGAATGAAAAATCTTTTTGAAATTATGTGTAAGCTTATGTATTATTTGGAACACCAGTTGAAATGATTGATTTGAACAGATCAAATTTAGTTTAAGATCCTATACTAGAAATTGTTTTATTTATGTTTCTAGTTGCCAGTAACTGCAGCTCTACCAGCAGGATTCCAACTCACACCACATGATCTTCAAAATCTTCAACAACAATTACTTCTACAACAGCAGCAACTTCAAGTACAACAACTGCAAGCTAATTTACAGCAGGTTGTATCTGCAGCAGCAGCTTCTGTAGCTGCTACCAGTTCAGCAGCAGTGACCCAGACATCAACAGTATCATCACAAGCATCTACACAACAACCATCAACTCCTATCAAGACTAATCCACAAGTGAATCAGATACAACTACAACCAGCAGCTGCATCCCCTCAATTACTGACAGGTCAACTACAGAATATATCATTACCAGCTAATGCTGTACCTGGTATCCAACAGATAGTTTTTGTTAATCCTTCACAACTATCAACAGTACAACCACAGCTACTGGTTCAGAATCAGGTCTGTAATATTTATATAGTTTATATAGAAAAGGTGTCTTGCTAATTCATGGTGTGGCAGTGGTGTTGGCTTGTTGGCTGATAATAGTTTATTTGGATTACCTAATTACTTTCATGAGATATTTTTCTATTTTCACTTAAATTTACTGGAAGTGTTATTGACTTCAAATCTGCAACAGACTGAGTGATTGAAGTAAGGCAAGTGACTTTATGTTCTGATGTCTATTAAAATATTCTTTCACAAAAATATTCTTCTATTCTTCAGAACTCAAAGTTCAAGTATATTATCAATTATTTCAGCTCCCAGTTCTACAAGGAATGACAACCCCAACCCCAGTTGCTCTGTCAGTAGCTCAACCATCAACCACACCTGCTACAATAACACCAACTACTCCCTCTACAACACCTACAGTTACCTCCCCTTCACAATCATCTCAATCATCCAGTAATTCATCATCTTCTATACAAAATATCATTCCACAACTAGTAAGTATTGTAGCACCTTCACATCATAAAATAGATTCAAACAGAAATGAATTAATTTGTGCTTTTGTGACAATGATGTCTAAGTGACTTTCTTGCTGCTGCTTTCAGGATACTTAGATATCAATTTTTATACGCCCACATGAAATAGGGGGGCGTATATTGTCGTCACCCATGTCCGTCCGTCCATCCACAATTGCTTGTAAACACTCTAGAAGGCACAATTCTTGACTGATTTTGACTTCAATTTTTAACTCTTGAACGCTTTAAAAGGTTGAGTTATAGCCCTTGTTATTACAAATGCGTTCAAGTTTTAGCCTGTTAACACTCTAGAAGGTCCAATTCTTGACAGATTTTGACGAAACTTGGTAATATTATACAGTATCACCCCCAAAAGTTCAAAAGAAGTTTATGACTGAAGGTTGAATATTTCATACTTGTAATTGTTACTGTACTGCCAAATATTTTTATTTAAAATCAAAGTGGGCATATATTACCTTGCCTGGCAAGCTATATTTGTTAATACAGTTATGCTAGAAATGCTTTATTATTGTAGGAAGAAAATATAGATTTAGAAGAGTTAGAACAATTTGCTAAAACATTCAAAAGACGAAGAATAGAACTTGGTAAGCAGATAGACATTTTATTTTAATTTGAATGAATACTACTGTTGTACATTGAGGGAAATGTTATAATTTGTTTATTTATGTGATGGATTAGGTGATGGATTGTCTATCACTGTTGAACTCAGATAATATAATGCATTTTTATCCTTTTTAGGTTTTACTCAAGGTGATGTTGGTTTAGCAATGGGAAAACTTTATGGAAATGATTTTAGTCAGACAACAATCTCACGTTTTGAAGCTCTTAATTTAAGTTTTAAAAACATGTGCAAACTAAAACCATTGTTACACAAATGGCTGGAAGATGCTAATGATCTTGCCTCAAATCCAACCGTTATTTCTGGAAATGCAGCACTGACTGCTGAAGCAATTGCTCGACGGCGGAAAAAACGAACAAGTATAGATACAACTATTCGAGTGGCTTTAGAAAAGGGCTTCTTAGCCAATCCAAAACCATTATCAGAAGAAATCACCCAATTAGCTGATAGTTTGAATATGGAAAAAGAAGTTGTGCGTGTATGGTTTTGTAACAGACGTCAAAAAGAGAAACGTATTAATCCACCTTCGCCTTTTATCATGCCAAGTTCTCCAGTGGCTCCCAAATCTGAATTTCCAGTTCTTTCCACGGCTTTGAACACTGCTAATAATCCCACGGGTATGATAATATCTTCAGTGGGTGGAGTTCAATCTGTCAATCAACCACTTTTAGCCTCTGCCAATGCCATCATCAATGCAGCAGTGAATTCAAATAGTAATAATACTTTAATTTTATCCTCAACCATTCATGAACATAATCAGGAGAGGGAGGAATCATGAAGAAATTTTTCTCTTTTATGAATGTATGTGAATGTGAGCATATGCCAAAATTTACTTGTACAGTTTAAATTCCAATCATCAAGTCTTTTGGTTGAAACAACTTAGAGAAAAATGTGGATTTTTGTGAAGTGAAAATGGGAACATGTTTGACTTGTGACAACTGCAACACCGTGTTGTCATTCCAGCGAACACAATTCCTTTACACCTAAATCCCAAACCAGTTAAAATGATGTGCCGAAAGTTGACAATGAACTATGGAAAAGTAAATCCAAATCAATTAGTGCTAATTTCTTTATTCAGATATTTTTTGTATAGATTATTCTTTATATTAATTTGTTATTCAGCTTGGTGCAGTCTCTAAAATTGACTTAGATAAAAATCTTACTTAGAACCACATTAGAATTATTTTTTGTTAAATTTTTGAAAGCATAAAATCCGGATTAACCAACCTTGGCTCGCTTTTAATCCATGGAACCAGTTTTGGGCAAATTGGAAATATTTGATATTTGATTTTGCTTAATTGAGTTTTCAGTCCCACCTAACCCTTTTTGGTTCTAAATCATGTTTAAAACGGTTCAATCAAATATTGTTAGAAATTAGGTTTTCTTTTATACACAGATATTATATCAATTTTGTTAAAATTTTAAAAAAGTTCTTAGTTTTAAATAAATAAGAACACTATTATAGATATACTACTCCTTTCTTTAATTTCTGTAACGTTTCAATTCACATACAGGAATCTTTATATTTGTTGTTCTGTTTTCTATCATTAATATTTTGTGCTTGAAAAAATTCCTGTATGTGAATTGAAACGTTGCAAAAAATTAAAGAAAGGAGTAGTATATCCATAATAAATTCAGAGATTATAATGTCATTTAGAGATTGTTCCTTATTTTTTTTTTTATCAATGTCAATAGATGAAGTTGTTTTATGAAATTCATTTGAGTATAACTTTTTCAGATTTTCTATAAATATAGCTATTTAAACTATGCCATGAAGAGTTCCTCTTTTAGTGAGCTAACTTTTTTAGGCTGTATAAGCCTACCCAATTTGAATTCAAATCTAAATTTAAGAAAATTGATATTTGCTTTCCAAAAGTTAATCTTTTTGCAAAATTATGGCTGGAGATTATTTCTTATGAAATTATGGTTGTTTTTTTGTCTTGATTTTCATTCCTTGTACATGAATTATACAATACAACAATAATTTTATTTTGTGTTCATCTTTTGTTATTAAGGTCATCAATAAATGACCAGTTTGAGGTTATTTTTGTTATAATTTGTATATATTGCATTATATTGTTATCAATGATGAAAAGATTTGTATCAAACAAGTGCGAGAAAAACATATATTTTTCTTCAGTAAATATACTTTTGTTTAGAAACCTAGTTTTGTATTTCATTGGTTAAATTGGTTGATAATAACAGCCAAAAATTATTTTAGTTTCATTTAAGTAAATCTGGCTTATTATTATGTAATGTCTAGTAAACTGATCATAGTGTAGCCTCATGGGAGACATTTTCAGTTTTTGTGTAGAAAAAATGCACATTATTAAATAGACATACCAAGAGCATGATAAATGAACCTTCATTGAAGATAGCAAGACAGATTCAGGGTATAATAATTGAAAATGTTGTTGGGCATATTACTAATACATACAAAGCTAGACAACTTAAGATAAAAATATCAATTTAACTCAGTCATGTCTGTTCTGATCAAGGCATGTGGCAAATGATCAAAATAATTGGCCTTATTGCCACTCAATTATACATTATTTGTTATTTAGGATATCATGCATAAACTTGGCTTGAATATTACAGATGATTACACCTAATGCATTGTGAATATGTGAATAGCTTATTCAATTATTACTGAAAAGGGGAAGTAAGTGGCTTTGGCTTCAGACCAAATTGTTAAGATATTAGAATTAGGCTGGCAAATACTCAAACTAATAACAAACTGTAATAGTGTAATTATAATAATCAATTTATTTCAGTGGTATTCAGTTTTGTTAACAATATCTTTAAAATAGTCAAATTTTCAAAATATTCATTAACTCAAACATTAGCATGTTATATTTGGAAAATGATCAATCATACAAAAAGCTATTATTAAATATGTATATAAGCATGTTATGACAAATTTTAGAATGATATCCTTTACATTAGACTTAATCTTTATTAATAGTTATATGATATTCAAACTTTCATGGACAAATTCCAATTTATTCAATTAAATAAAATTTGATCACATCAAATTAAAATATGTATTTACAAAAGAAATATCGAGTCCAATTTACATGAAAGCACTTTTGAAAGTATATATACAAAATATTGTTTAAAACATTTGTTACGATTAACAAATAAAGTTTAATAATAACAAATTTTATATACATGCATCACAAATTCTTTCATTCACACAATCATTTACATGTCCCTTGGCTGTTTTTACAGGCAATTTTGAGTGTTTACATTAACTTAAGTAATTGTATGACATAAAACTTCAGAATATCCACAAAAGCCTTTTCAATTAGCTTTCTACAAAAACTGCTACCTTACAGAAATATTGGTGAATCTTTCAAAGCATGAGTACATGTAATAAAATAAAGTTCAAAATACCACATACAAGAATGATAAAAGTCAAATAATATAATTGTACAGAAGGCACACAGTTCGCTATATTCAAATTGTCAATTATATCGGTTGACTTAGTCAAATTATGTACATATTAGTACATAATAGATTGTTATTTTTAAATAAATTGTACATGATATAAATAACTAAATTTTAGCACTTTTCTTTCATTGCTGATGTTGCAAGTAAAACAGGGGATGTGCATTCTTGCAGACATTTTATGCCTTGACTATGTCAGCTCTGCATTCCTTATGTCTTTGAGAGAGTCCACAGTGATTGGATCACAGATTCTGATTAATTAAGATATCTACGACAACGTTTAGAAGAACAGGAACAAGTTATTTTAACATCTTCTATAGGAAATTTATAATCATACGTTAATTCTTCTCCTTTCTTAATTCTGAAATATTCAACATTATAATTTTAATACAAAATATAAATATAAACAGGTTTTGTAGGATCTGCTTTAATTGGACCACAACTATGTAACTTATTTACATTAAGGTGAAGTCTAAGTACAAATCACATGTACATAAACAATTTCTTTGAAGACACTAAATCCAGTTTTTTTTTTTCAGAGCAAGCATTGAAAACTATGGAATTTCCAGCTCACAATGCCTAAATCATGAGATTGGCAAGTTTTCGAGAAAATAGTTGAAATTGATGAATCTGGTAAATTTGAGATGTCCTCGCAAGACAGTCATTACACAAAAGTTATACAGCAACACTAAATTGACTCCAAAAAATAAAAAAAAATCAAATATTACTTACTGCCTTGAGGCAAATATAACAATATGTTTTCTGTTATCTACTGTTATTACTTTAGAATAACAATTTGGCTGAAATGGAAATAAACCATCATTAAATATGCTATTATTAATTGTCTTCTGGATAATTGAAATAATAACAGAGCACAACTTTAAGTTAGACTACTACTTATAGAATAATATACCTTTTTATACCTATTTAATAAAAACTCAGGAATAGTATTTCATCAGAAAGGGTAAAGGGGATAAAGCTGTGGTAAATAACATATTTTCATTATACATTCTTTGCAATATAATATGCAACAGTTTATAAAAAAATATTACTTAAACTGCTTACCTCACAGGAATGGTTGATAAATCTTGCAGCACTGCCATGCATAGTGGCGTCAACAACATCAAAATCATCAATTCTAAACATATAACATCCTATACCCTTACTATCATAATACTTTTCACGTTTATCTGTTAATGTAGCACGAATTACCTCCCCTGCATATTCTATCACCATCTCACCAGCATCTATATTACGTTTACAATATAAACCTCTACCATGGATAAATGATCTGAAATATATTGTAATACAAGTATACCAGTTGCTATTCACTCATATGATGGGTTTAAAAGAGTTTCTCTTAACAAGTTGTTAAAAGTCAATTTAAGATTTTCTATTAACATCAGTAACATAATAATCATTACATAACATTGTTTCCTTATAATTTTTATGAAGACAGTTTTTCAGAGTTGGGTTCATGTATATTTTGTCTTTCAGACTATGATAAAGATATTTAAACCTGTGAATCAACCTGCACAGCTACTTATATCTAATCTTTAACCCATTTGATAACAGTGTTAACCCAACATGAATTACTTCTAATGGTCAAATGGGAATATAATCATACTATGTGATGTAATTATCAACATTAATTGTACCTGTATACTCCAACAGCCTCCTTGGCATGTTCTCTTAATTTACGGAATCTCATTGCCATTGGTAAATCCATACTTGTTGCTCTCCTGTAAACAGAAATCATGACATCTTTAATTTTTTGTCTGAATCTTATTTTCAGAATCATTCTTTCCATAAATCAACAAAGGTATAATGCAATTCAGTAAACTTAAAAGTGATAAACAATTGCCTAATTAAACATTTGAAAAACTTGAGATAAAAAAGTGAATAATTGAATATTACACTTTGCTGTTGCCATGTTAACATTATCATCAACGACATCATCATCGGCATCTACATTGAATGTATCATACAGATTTTTTATATGTTGTGTTTTATCCTTTAAATAATGGAAAACATTGAATTCCTACCTAGATGATTTATGAATCATTTCGTTACAGACTTCAACAGGTTTATCATCAACTTGAGGACGTTGGCGATGTTTAGACATAAGAAAACTAAACATGTCACTAGGTTTACGGGATGTATAGGGTTCTGTTCTAATACAACCACTAGGATTAATAACAGGTTCCTATATATATACAATTAATATGTTATAATTCAAAAAATAGGGTCTACAGCATCTAACAGAGCATATTAAAAAGTCTTTAAAAAGTTTCCCTTTCCAATTTTATGAAATATAGAGCTTTTGAAATTCTTGTACCTGAACCAGGTTAATTTTGAAGTTTTATAGTTAGTTAATCTGTTTTATCCACTTGGCATTTCTTTCTCAGAATGTCCAAAAGTTATCTAATTTGAGATTAAAATCTAAAACTGCATCTTACCTCATCTTCTTCTGTAAGTGTATGACTATGGTATTGAAAATGATAATTTCGACAATGTTTAGCTCCATATAGTTGTTCTACATGATAGACTACTGCTTTATGACTAATACCAAACATGGATAAACCATTCACACCTAATAAATAAATACAAGTTGGTACAAGACAGATGCCAAGAGTTTAATCAAGAATATTTTTTTCAGATATAAGTGGCATAGTCATATGATTTCCTTCCCCAACTAATAGAAATCAATCAAAGCTAATTTTAAACTGATATAATCTGCAAAATGATGTTGTGTGCCTTAAAACCAGCCGTTGTTGAAAAACATATTCAAATTTCTTTGTGAGCTTGAATTTTTCACTTGTCCTTAACATCTCATTACCAAGAATGAGGATGGAGATGAAGTATTTAGCATTGAGTGAACCTTAGTCGATCAATATTCACATATTGCACTTCTAAAAGATAAACAAAGACGAACAACTTACTTGCACAAGCCATAGGTTTTAATCTAACAGCTGCTCTAGCATCTTGAACTTTTTCTATCACTTCCTTCCACGCTTCTGTAAATTGTCATTATAACAGAATTTACAGAGAATCACCCCAATTTATATAGAAATAAATAAATAGATCTTTACCTCCTTTCTGAGAAAGGACAGCTGAAGATCATTGGCAATGTCTAGTAATGAGAGGAAAACTTTTCCCAGGAGAGTATCAACAACTAAAGTTTAAAATCTGTGCAAGGTGTAGCAAACAAGGGTCATGAGCAAGTATTAACCACTGGATTAATTTGTCCTATAACTGTATCTCATTCAAAATCTAAAATTCTTAGGAATTTCTAACAGCATACCTTCCATTGAGTCTGCTTGACAGGAGAAACCATCATCACTGGTAATTTCAAAAATCAATTTAGACATTGATTTGGAAGGACTAGAATGTTTTTGTCGAACTCGAGCTTCATGTTCCAGTAAAGTCAACATTGGACAATCTGTAACTTCTTCTTCAACTACTACTTGTTGTAACATTGACTCTTGCTTCTGATGATGAAGCAGCATATGTGATGAAAGACCAGCTGAAGAAAGAGGAAATTAAATGGAGATATGTCTACTCTCTAGCATCTTTCTTAGATAAAAACATTACAGTGAGAGAAATTTCGCCTTATAAAAAGGTTGCAACTCAAAAACATTCCTTTATTTCTTGACTATAGAATGTGAGGTAGGTCAGGTTTAAATTGGTGTTAACATAAAAATATACTTTTAAAAGAAATTACGTGTATAATGTCCTCGGGAGCTGCACGAGACTTTAACTGGAAAAGATCTTAGGGATTACTTTTTTGGCGAAGGAAAACAAAATTAAGACATATTGTAGAATTCATTTTAGAGAATGAGTACACTTACATTTATTAAATGAATGTGGTTTCAAATGACGAACTACAGGACCAATCTTTCGAGGTGTTTTTTTCGGCGTGGTAGATTTATTTGGTAAAGTCTTTTTCTGCTTCTGATTCTTCTTCAAAACAATCTTCTGTTTCACCAGTTGTTTCTTTTGCTGCTGCTGAACAAAACTTTTCACTTTTGGTAAGTTTATCTGTCCTTCGATAATACCATTTTTGGAAATCATATTCAGAACCTTACTTGGGATAGACGTTTCTGTTTTTTTAGTTTTCAACAGTGTTGGTCTGTTCAAAACCTTCCGTAATGTTGCAAACTGCTCACTAGAGTTCTTTGTCCGTTTGTTGTTTTCGAGCATTTTACGTAATTTGATAATTGGATCAGTTGAGGAATTTTTGATCAAGTCTGGAGGAGTTTTAGCTGCTTCATTCAGCTGAGACAAAATTGTTGATGAAGATGGTTTAGATGAAGCGTTTGATGGAATGACAGCCTTAATAGCATTCTGTGAGGAGTGATCATTAGATGAACTGGATTTACGAGTCACATTTCCATTTGTATTAGTTGGAGAGATAGTGTGTGCTATTTGTTGAGATTGAAGGTTCTGATGGACTAGGTTCCCCTGTGGATTCAATGGCAGTGCTCTAGGACCATGTTCTGGGTCCATTACAAAACTTCCAACATATCCAGGCTTCATTGCTGCAAGCTGTTTTCTTGGAAAAATTTGAACAGTAGTTGCACCTGTGCATACTGAATTTATATTTGGTTGCATAACAGAGAATGCTGGACCTGGATTGGAATATCCAGAAATAAATGGTCTTGGAGTCTGTTGAATATAATTGTTTGGGTTAACTGCAGAAATCATTGGAACAACAGACTGGTACTGTGCAGTGCTGGGAACCGAGACTGTTGGCGTTAATCTATTTATATTTACAGTTTGAGGCATTCCAAGCATGTTTACAGTCTGTCCCACTGTTGCCATGGCTAAAGGCTGGTGCATTCCAGGTATGTTATAAGCCTGTTGTACATTAGAAAGATTTATATTTTGTGGCATAACCGCCATGTTAAGTCTTTGTGTCATAACAGGCATATTAATGTTTTGAGATACTCCTGTAATTGTGTTTTGTATTACACCACTACTGTTGATAGCAATAGTTGGCTGAAAACCATTCATGGTCCCACTGGAAACCATATTCATGAAGGTTGGTTGGACGGGTTTTGGAAGGATTGTTTGGTGGTTCTGATTGTTTGGCATTGTGCTGATATTGTTTAAATTGTTTATCATATTGGTTATTACTTGCTGTGTTTGATTTGATTCTTGTGAACAATTGGTATGAAGCAAATTCTTTGGTGGTGATTCCAGAATTGAAGAGTTAGCACTGGATGTAGATTCATTGAGAGAGTCTGAAGATTGACTAGAATTTTGGACACTAGCTTCACCAAATTCTTGTAGGATAACAGCAGCCATTAGATCATCAGGAGTAGCTTTATCAATTAGCATCTGTCCTTTGGTTTTCTGTTTCTGTTTCTGTTTCTTGTGGGTAGTTGTAGTATTTTTCTTTGGGCTACTTAATTCTTTTTCAGAATGAGAGTGGACTCTAGCATTTTTTTCTATGGTAGGAGAGTTGCTTACACCTTCATTAAATACCTTTACTGTATGACATCTCACACCGTTCATCACCTCTTTACCTTTCATAGGACTACCAATTTTTTCCTTTAACTTCTCCAGAATGGCTGTAGCATTCACCTTCTTCTTTCTCGGATCTAGGTAGTCCTCTTTCTTCTTCCTCTTTTTTTTAGGGCTTGTGATGCTAGTATCATCGGGTACACTTTCAGTTTTAGGTTTATCATCAATTATATGACTAGTATTTAAATCTGTAATTTGGTCAACTTTATTTGCTTTATCAGATATATCATCAGCTTCTAACAAACGATCAATTATTCTATCACAGAGATTTTCAGCTGTCACTACCTCTCTGGGAATGTCTATAACTTTATCAACTTCCTTTTTCAACTTTTTACTTCCAGATACTTCTGCATCTGGCGATAACACTCTCTTCCTGGTGTCTGAATGTTCCTCACTATTCTTCTCATCATCAGATACCTCTTCATCACTGGTGCTTACCTCAAAATTACAATCTGCAGCATGGGCCTTGAAGCTCTCCTTAGTTCTATAAGATCTCTTGCAACTAGAACACTTAAATGGACCTTTATCACCAGGATTACACTTGGCCAAACTTTCAGCTTTAATCTTCAGAGCAATCTTATCAAAAAGCGGTACATTTTCTGAAACTTTTACTTTTTCATCTTGAGAATCTTTAAGAATAATTTCATCAATGGCCCTCTGATTGGTTTTTCTAAGAGGATAGTACTTCAGAGTAGTTCCTGAAGATTTTCCACAGGTTTTAACAGTCTCTTTGGAATTTTGATTTTCTTCCTCAGAAGCTTCAGTATGTTCTTTTGTCTTTGAGATATGGTTTGCTTCCTTAGAATTTGATACAATATCCTCACAGAGTTTATGTGGATTCTCCGACTTCATTTCCTTTTTATAATCTACATCTTGTTGATCTTGATCTACATCCTTAACATCCTCTGAACTACTTGAATTAACTTCAATAGGAACATCATTGCTTTCAAAAGAGATATTACCGTTGCTTTCCAGTTCTGAATCAGGGCAATTTTCAATTGCTTCAACTATTGATGTGCCTGTTTGAAGCTTAAAAGGTAAAGTGCCAGATTCTTTCAATGATGATGACGATTCTGGTGAAGATTTTTCTTTTAGGTCTACAGTTGAAGAACTACATGAAGATTCCTGTACAGACAAATCTTTTGATGGGGACAATAACTTCTCACTGTCCTCTGATGATGCTTTTAGATTTTCAGCAGAATGGTCTTCAATGATCATGACATCATCTTGCTCAGGTTTAGAAGTTCCGGCATCTTCATTAACATTTTCAGATATTGATGCATTTTGTACATCTTCTACTAATGAAGTTCTTGCTTCAGAGAGAGTATTCTCTGCTAATTGTACAGCCTCTTCTTCTGTCATATTTTCATTTCCATCAGCAACAACAAAGATAGTGTCTCTTTCAGAATCTAATACATCAGCTGGTAAACTCTCCAGCAGCCATTTTGTGTCTTCTTCTAAACTGTTCATAGAAATGTTCATCTCATCTTCTTCATTCAAATCAAATCCTTCTGTATATGATTTAGATATGGGAATCTTTGAGCTGAAAGATGCTTCCTTTTCGGTGGTATTGACATCTTCAGCTGACTTGGACCTCAAAATCTTCTGGTCTTCCAGCTCAACACTTCGAGATCTTTTATTCCTAGAGGCAGCAGAATTCAGTCTGTCCACCATTTTGGCTAAAAGATTTCCAGAACCAATCTTGTCATCTTGAATTATTGGAGGTGACAAAATCTTCTGGGAATATTTTTGCGGATCTTTAATGTTCAGGGCACGAAGGGTGCTGGGTGACAACAAGCTCAGGTTTAAATTGTTTGGTGACAAGGGATTGCTGCAGGAGGAATTTGGTGATGTTATGGGAGAAGTTGGAGTTCCCAGAGCTGACATTGTTCTACTAGATCCAGATGAGCTGGTTGCAGACACAAACAAAACATCATCATCTTCATCCTTTGTCTCAGGAGAACCCAACAAGAAAGACAAACCTTTGGATCTTAAATCAAGATCTTCAAGAGGCACATAATCTGGATCATTCTCATCATGGACAATTCTTGTGTCATTTATTTTAACGTCAGGTGATTTTAAGGTGGGTTTAACTTCAATGATACGACAAGTATAGATACATCTCCTCCTCGGATCAACTGTACTCCAATATATTCGGGAACATCTGAAAGGTATAATATTCCTGCTTACGACTTTGATCATACAAACAAAAGGATGAACTAAGATCAAGCAGCTCTTTCAACTAAAGTGCTTTAAACAAATACATGAAGCAATAAAAGACAGTAAAACAATTACTTAAATGATTAAATCATAAAACCTGATTCCACTTTGTGCATAACATCCTTCAAGTATTTTGCTATATTCATTATCTCCTTGTTGTGTCTAAATAAGATTTTGGTTACCATCATCAAGATTGTAGCTCTTTAGTTAAATCCTAAGAAAGGCAAAAAGAAAGAAATCTCTACCTATAATTGACTGGTACTAAAAAACCTTTACAATCAGATAGTGGTGTGATTAATCCTAGATTTTCTACTGTACATGAACCTACAAATATAGAAAAATATATTCAAACTGTAACAATGGCATTTCTTGAAAGAAAAAAAAAATATTTATGCAGTTTGTGATGCAAGCAGTTTGCTATTTTAATTTAAGCTCGTGAGAATAGATGGAGGAAAGTCTATTGGAAAAAGACCACCATGTAAAACAACTAGCTCTGTCAAATTCACAGATTTGCAAATGACTCACCAATAACCATGTTCATAACTGAAGGGTCAAGTCCACGATTCCAGGTTTTCTTATTAAATTTCACCTTGTCATTATTGACACAAACTCTTCTGTTTACACAGAACTTGGCACCATGTACCAGCTGAAAATATATTTAATCATCAAAATAAGACATCACAATTCTGTAGATAATCCATGACACAATGGGTTTAGGGTCTAGAGTTGGGTCAGTCATGTTTTTGTGAATTTTTAACATATTCAAGATGGATGAGCAATGCTCATATGCTTGATTGCGATAACTGACTGGCGTTGATTAGGAATGGGCATTATAAAGCTGAGAATAATAAATAAGAACTTTTTAAATTATAAATAAACAACCTAGAAGTTCATAGAAAAAAATATCGATGTCCTTACCTCACCCACTGCATGAGAAGCATGTGATGCACAATAAACTTTCTTATCTTGTTGAAATACACAGTGAGATAGTTTAGCACACACAAAATGATAGTTAGCAGAACATCCTCTTGTACAACATCCTACTGTAGCACCATGTTTAGTACAATATTCACATCTCTACAAACAATATAAATTATCAAGCAAATGAAATGAATGATTGAATTAATGAACAAGCAAGGGAATGAATGAATGAATGCACATGAAACTTTTTTGGTCCCTTAGGAGCCATTATTCTGTATAAGTTCCAAACTTTTAACTTGATTCTATGACTTACCAATTGTCTTCCTCTACCAACTGCAGTATGAACATTTTGTAAGGCTCCAGTTAATTCCTCATAGACTTCAGCTGACCATAGAGCACAGTTAACATGTACCCAATCATCTTGGTGAGCATATAATAGTCGACCAGCATTCTTAATTATAAACAATGTATACAGTGAATATATTGTAGATATGACCATATCAATAATGATGTAAATTTCTTTATCAGCAATTAGTACCTAAAGTAATGCAGTCTTCTAAATAGCTGATAAACCAACTGATACATCTTTATAGTATGGTACTGTGTTTTATTTTTGTTTCTTCTGAGAACAGATACTGTCATTATTCAGAGCTGATGTAAAAAAAAAAGTACCTGTGGAAGATCATCACCAAATTTAGAACAGAAAGAACAATTCCTATCATCTGTACCAATTACAAAATCCATAGACTTTACAGCTGAAATACAGACAAGTATCAAATCAATATTATTCTCCTGTATAACCCAGTCGCAAAGTGGTATAAGGTGTTACCCTGCAAGTGTGATCCATAACAGTACTCATTGCAATGGAGCACAAACAAAAAGCCCAAAATTAATTCAAATTAATATTCTCATAATTTCAGACAGACAACCATATTGTATTATCTAATAGGACTAGTTAGCAATGCTAATAAAAGTAATGTAACTATATGTAACTTGGCAATCTGATATAATAATTTGCTTCAATAGATCCAATTGGTCGAGATCTAGATCCATGATCATTAGTGATAAGAATATGACCTGCTCTATTAGAATTAGATATTACTATCTATAATATAATAGAGAGTATTGTACCTATAGAAAGAGGTTTAACTGGACTACTCGTAAGATGTTTAAATGGTGAGGGCTGGGGTGATGTTAATAATGGTATTCTATTTAACCATTGATGGTAAGTATGATCATCACTAGGTGGTAAAACAGCATCAGGTAACATTCCACTGCAAATAGGACAAGAAAATATAATAGTTTCTACTTTCAGATTCTCATATTTTTGATTAAGACAGAAATTATGCCATTGTTTAAGCAGATTACTATTTTTGTTTCTGTGGATATCTGTGAATCTTTTTTGGAATTAAACTGCAATCTCTTGAGCAGCTGTCCATATTTTCAAGTTTTTGAAATTGTAAATATATTTAACATACAACTTACAGTGGTAATGCTTTATGATCTTTCCATATTTTACATAGTTTGACATTATAGAAGGGAAAACATTTCTCCATTTGCTGAAATCATAAAATGTACCAATTAAAACAGTTAGAAAGATACAAGATTTGCCATGATAATCACAATGTATAGTGGCTGAATTAATATGAGCCTTAACCTTGGACAAATAAATTTCAACAATATCCCTTACAAGACCACAGAAGATATCTAACCTAGAATGCCTCAGTGTCAATACTTAATAGAACCAACCTTAATAAACATAGATTTAACAGACAGATTCATTCTCTTTTTAGAACTTGATGCTTCATAACTTATAGCAAACTGTATAATGCGTACAATATCTTCACAAAATTCATCCTGAAACACAAAATATAAAGTTTAAAATCTTTCTGTTACTGGTAGTCTGGTAGACCAGTGCCAATGCTTTAAAGAGTCTATCTCACATTGGTTTTGTCAGCTTCCTACCTCTATATAAATAGACATATGATCTTCTAGAAGGCAACACTTTTATTTTAAATGTAATTTTGTTACTATTTCAATTCATTCTATAAATTAAATTTGTGTTTACAAATACATCAATTCTAAAATTTCAAAGGCAGGGAATGCTTACCCCTTTTGATGTACGTGATGTCATGTTGTTCAAAAGGTACAGAACAACTACAATCATTAACAAGAGCACCACATCAAAAAAAGTAGATTGTCCTTATGTTTGCTGGACTGGTGTATCTGATAAATGTACTATATATACTTACTATACTGTTATATTGTTGCATAATTACTCTTTCACCAACACTTTTTAAATCAGAAGGAAACACATCAAAATCATATTCATCTTTTGATTTATCAGTTTTTACAACTTTCATATTGTCGTAACACTGATTGCTAGTTGTCACAAAACATTTTGGTTGTTCAATAAGTTTTGTAAATTCTGGAGTATTTGGACCTGTCGAGGGTGAACTTTGTTTAGAAAGAGAGTCTGGCCCTTTCTGAGATTCTAAGATGTCTGCCACAGTTGGTACCGATTCTTTGGTGGTAGTTTTGTTCTTATCACCACTACTTGTTTCAATAAGAAAGGTAAATATTCTATTTATAATTTCATCTGATAGCAGACTATCAAATATTTCTTCCTCTAATGATTTTTCTTGGACAGTCATGGATGGGGTCTGATTTTTCTTGCATGCTGCCACAGCTGACTGAGCTGCTCCAAAGTTGGACACTTTTTCTTGTTCTCCTTGACTTTGGATATCACCTTCAATTTCCAATGGATTGTCATGAGTATTGTCTATGCTTGGTGCCACAATATTTTGAGTTTGAGGTTGATTCTTGTCCTCAGTATCTGCATTATTACCACAATTCAATGTCTCTGTTGCATCATTAGCAGCATTGTCTTCTGTAACATGTGAGGATGGTGCTTCCGAAATCTTTGGGGTGGGTTCATCAGTTCGAGGCACAATTTCGCTAGGTTCTTCCATTGACGTGCACGTAACATTAATTGGACAATTAACAGACATTGATTCAGAAATACTGCTCTTGGGAGATACACATTCTACATTTTCAGCATTAGCACAAGATTCAGGAACAACTATCTTGTCAACAGAAGCTAATTTGGTAGCTTTGTCCAAGGATGACAACAAAGCATCAGTAGAATCCTGTTTATTGACCTCCATAGTGACTTCAGTTTTATCAACAGCTAGTTCTTCATTAAAAGTATCAAAGAGGTTTTTTTTGACACTATTACTAGGACTGTATTTTGTCTGTGATGTCAGACAAACTGTGTGTGCCATTTCTTTCTTCTCTGCTTCTTCCTTTTGTGATTTTAGTTTCTGTCAATAATTAAGTATGAATTTATGAACATTGTTTTAGAAGAGAAAAAACCTATATATACAAAGATCGTACTAATAATGAACAAGTTGGATCTGACAAAAATCATAATCAGAAGAATTCAAGTCCACATGTATTGTTGTGAGGTGCCTGCAAAACATCTTGGAAGGGTATAAAACAAGCTTTTCAGTGGAAAAAAAAAAACAATTTCTTACCATTTTATCTACTTTAACTAAATGATGAGCACTTTTTAAGGAGACCAGAGACTTCAATACTGTACTTAATCCATTGATAAATAATTCTTTCATTGCTATTTCCCAATGTGCTGGTTTGTGGTTGGAACAGATACGACATGTATAGTTAATGGTTTCTGGTAAACAGGCTACCAATTCATACATTTCATCTGCAAATAAGATGTTTGTACCGTAACATGGTATATTTTGATACAATATTTTGATATGTCCCTTCATGAATTATGAGAGAAATTCTGTCAAAACAGAACAGTGAACTCAAACACATGAAACTGGTTCAGAAACTACCAGAAAAGCTATTTCTTTGGAAATTTTAGTGAAACATGATTTAGAATTGACTGTTTTATGGGAATAAATACCTGTAAGTTGTTCACATTTAGCATGAACCCAGCTGTTACAAATAGCACAATGTACCATCTTAGATTCCCAATCATCATCAGAATAACATTTATGACAGATTGGACAGAAATTACCTGTACAAAATAATATGAATAAATATTAACATATATGAAACATTTTGTTAGCTTTGTTGGTAGCAAGCTGAATTGCTGAATTTATGTTCTAATAGTTTGAATATCTTTATTTGTTATGAGTGCTTAATTCTGCCATGGAATAACTTGTACTTAAATCAACTTGTAGCTTACATTAGCAAATACGAACACCACACAAAATAAGCAAAGTGAATTCTCCATAGGGGATCATTAATCCATGAACATTTTGAATATTCTGCTTGTATGTACAGAAAAAGAATTTTGTTGAATAATTTCAAGAGTTCTGATTGATTGATTGTTAATTAGATCTACAAATCAGAATACATGTGTACTTGTCATTTTTCTATTTATGTTACTGGTTCCTCTCAGCAAACATACCTATTATTTATAGTCACACCCTAACTATACTTCTTACCTTTATCCATGAGTTTACCACAGTCATAACATAAAGAGAAATCATAGGTCCATGTGGCATTACCACCTGTTCCTGGTGTGGTCACTCCACAGCTCTTACACTTAACACATTTAGTACACACCCAGATATTCTTCTTACTACTAGGTCTAGTAGGGTAGTTTGGTCCCAGACATTCTGGGTGATAGGTGGACTGACATCTGTACAAGATAATTTGAATTGGTTAGAAAATCTATTATGATATTTCTTGATTGTGAATCACAATTTGTGATTATCCTGTGATAATATGTGGCTATATTTGCAATAATCATCTTTTAATGTTATCGACAAGATCATCTTATGCTATTTGCCATCAACAGATCAACTGGAGTACAAGCAACGAAATCATAAATATATAATACAATTTTAGTTTAACACTTCAACATATTTGAATCATTAACAATAATGAAATACACACGTGATAATCAAATAAATACTAACCTGTCACAAGATAGTAGGTTATTCTGATAACCACAAACATTACAGAACTGACAGTTATCACAGCACCAGTTATCTTTATTATCATTACTAGGTCTATCTTCTTCATCTATACAGAATGTATGATACGCTTCACAACAGATACAACAATATAGCAGCTGAAATATACAACAATACAACATAATCTTTAAATATCATTTACAACATTACAACAGTTGAAATATACAATAATATGAAAGCTTAAATATACAATATATCAAAGCTCAAATAATATAATAATATCAAAAATAAAATATACAAGCTTAAATTTACTGCAATGTAGCAGCTGAAATGTATAATGATATACCCCAATTGCAATAACTGATACAGCAATACAGCAGCTGAAATATACAATACAACAGCTGAAATATTGAACAAATAATATAATCCAGCAGTTGAAATATACAACCAACAGCTTAAGCACTTTCACTGGATAACTGGATTTTAACTCACCTCTTCTTGACCCAGACTACCACATAAATAACATACATTTCTTATACAAGATGATGATGATAAAACTAAAGCCATACCACCCGCCCAAGCTGTATCAGTATCATATTTATCCTGCAAAAACAATAACAGCATTGTTAGCTATGTAGACTTTCTGAATTGGTTGTCAACTGCCAGTCTGATTGTTACAGAAAGGTGAATATGATCAACCATGGTAGGCACACCTGGTACAGCAATCATCAAAGTTGAGCTTAAAAGCGTATAAGATTTTAATTGGGCTCTGTCCCACAAGTATGCCAGTCTTATATTTCATTGATGATGGTAGTAACAAATTGATTTTACATTTCAAATGTTAATTTAAAGACATTTTTCCAAAACTAACCTTGAATTCAGCTTTAATATAATGAGGGTCAACTGGTATTGAAGACCATTGTCTATTAGTATGTATTGGTTGTAAAACTCTAGGTAAAACTTTATTCTTACTTAAAATCTGGAAAATACAAAATAATCCATTACCAGTCTTGTCATGAATGATGTTTTTAACAAGTCCTACTGAGATCTAAACCTATCCCTTTTATTCAGAAGGGAATGCTCCACAGAATATGACAGTTAAACTTATAATAACAAATCTAAATATATATCTGCTGAATGTCAGACTTTACAAAAAAAATAAGAACAAGCAACTATAGTTTTTCCACTTAGATTAAAAAAATTTAATTTTGATTCACATGTACAACTATCAAAATGAACTTTACCTTTGACTTGAGAACTCTTTTACTAGGTGGTAAACGTCCTACACCACTGTTACTGTTGATACTACTGGGTTGAAACGCTGAATGAGTCAGACTGGCTTGGTTGTTAGATACATTACTGTTATTGTTGTTGTTGGAGGGAGGTTGTTTGTCTCCTGAACCTGGTCAAAATAAACAAATAAACATTAGGTACAGGAATATTGTAATCTAAATGTTTGATATACCAGATTATAAATTACAGTTAATTGAAAAACTTTTCAGAAGTCAAATTCAACTGTATTTCAATATTTCTTATAATCAACCTAGATCTTATAAGCTGACCTATGCTGCAAACCTATAAACTTCAATATTGCTCTTTTGATGGACAAATATCTGTTTTCTACTAGCACTGGTGTACCATATATCTTTTCTGAACTCATTTCAGTATTAATAACAGATGACAATATAATGAGGGTATAGAGAGGAGAGTACCTGTACCTGTATTGCTAGTAGAACTAGTAGAGACTGTAGTGGTGGTGTATCTAGCAGTATTATTAGTATTACTACTACCAGGAGTTTTATTTTCATCATCTTTATCTTTATCATCTTCATGACTACCTTTAGGTTGTTCTTTTAATGTTATGAAGGAGGCTGTAGCTACCTTGGCATAGCACGGATTTAAACAACGACGATGACTGAAAGTGTAATGAACATTAAAGATTTCCATGATCTACACAATTAAGTTATCATAATCAAAATTCAAAAAAAATAAATTATGTTATTTCAAAAATTATTATTAAAAATAGACTTATGTCTAAATGGGTTGTCAAAATAAAGTTATTATTATAAAGTTAATATTATTACCAAATTGAGATTGGTTATCATAGTTTAATGTTGGTAAGTTATGTGCTGAAGGAAATTGAAGAGGTCAAAGAGATTAATTGGAGAAAATTTAACTTTAACATTTAATCTTTAATGAAAATTGATAATCGATAATCAAAATAATAAATTCCTAGCGAAGATAATCAATTATTTCAATTATTTTACCACCTATAGTGCATATATTTCTTTTCATTTGATCTAGATTCTAAATAAATTATGCTTGTTTTTACAGGAGTTATACCAAGAATGAAATATCATAGTTGATTAAGTTTTTAACTGTAAAATATTTGATATAGGAGAATTGTATCAGTTGCCATGACTACTCAGACGTGGTAACCTTCTTGTTCTCCAAACTGAAGTGACAATTAAGGATAACTACAAAATCTGTTGGGCAACTTCACTACCAAGGTCCACAGAAGTTTAACTTATCCTTCATACCTGTATTAGAGATAACAACTTGGGATTGTTATGCTTAATCTGAATCTATTAAATAATATTTATATAGTTTTAGTAAAGACAAACATGAAGCAAATGACTATAAATTTCTAGGCATGTTACTCACATACAAGCCTGTTTCATTTTACAACTTCCTCCAAACTTTGGTTTGTCCCTGAAACAGTAACATAAATATATATCACTATCACTCAAAGTTTAAAAACAATATATATATATACAACACAGTGAAGTTTTAAGTCTAATTAAATTATTGAAAGACTAATACATCATCTACTTACATATATAGTTATTAAATATTCATATTCATACTTCTAATTAATCACTGAAATCCTCATTCTTGTTAAACAGAGTTAAATCTTCCAGAAGTATCCTTTGATACCTCAACTGAAAGCTATACACACACACAAAGACTAGGAAACCCTTTCAAATCACTAGAAATGATTACTTACAGACAATAGGTACATTTACCACAATCATCAGCTATACATCCAGTACAAACTTTACATCTTATTTTACGTCTTTTACCAACTTGACCAGAATTCCGAACTAGTTTAGCTGTTTCTATTCTCTTGGCCAACATTCTAGAAAACAATATTTTTCAACATTAATCTATAATGTATACCACTAATATACAAATACTATAAGTGTAGTTGGTCAGCTAATTAGGGTGCTCAGACTTTTGATATCATTAGCTTACCTTCTGTGGAAAAGTGATGCTGAACCACGAAAAAAATCTAAAAATATGCAAATCTAAGTTTATAAGGTCGTTTGATGCTCAGGAAAACTTTACCATGAATATGAGATAACAACCTCAAGTACTCAATCTTTTTAAGTATTAAGTTAGGAAAGTGGTACCATGACAATAAAATGTCATTACTCACTTATCAATTGGTTTCTTTTTAAAAACAGTCAATTCACTTGGTTGTTCTTCTTCAGATGGTAATACTGGAATTTCTTCATCTGATAACTCTAGTGGTAGAATTACAATAGACATAGTTGAATTATGAAGAACAATACAGTGGACTTTAATGAAGGGCAGAATTGGAACAGACAGAACCTGTTCAAACTCTCCAATTGACACCCATGACTCAGCTGTGGTAATAGAAAATTTGTTAAGTCTTTTCTGCAGTATTTGATTAAATGTTTGTATGATTGTATGAGCAAGTAGTTTTTGTATGCTTGTTTGCATAGACACATGCTGCGCCTTTTCATTGTCAAACACATGGTATAATATCATATTGGCTTTTATTTTGGTCAAAGATCATTTATGCTACAAGTCTGATGGTATAGGAGGGTTACCTTTAGCTTTCTTTTCTTCTTCTTTATATATTTTCTGTTTCTCAGTATTTGGTAAAGCACTAAGACTTGGACCTTCAGCTTTCTCTGGGAATCGAGCAATATCTTTTCTAACAACCATAGCAGCTCTACGACAGACATGTTTAATTCTAGGACCATGACCAAGTACTGCTTTATCTATTGGTGGAGAATCCTCTTCTGCTTTAGCTTCAGGTGAAACTTCTCCTTAAATACAAAAATAGACATATAGCATCTTATCTCTTACACCTGATTAGGTTAATGTAGACGGACAAAGCCATCCAGTGTTGAATAAGGGAAATTTCGTCAAGACAGCAGCATTAACCTACTATCTTTTCAAGTTACATGTGTCAAGGGATCTTTAATATGTAGAGCTTTTAGCACTGGGGATTTAATTGTCTCATATGAAAGACTGGACACTATTTCCATGTCAGCATCTCTGAAAATATTTTAACAAAATCTTATAGGCATTTTTTGTCAGCCTGCAGGAAAATGCAAGCCTTTAAAAGGAGGTCACATGTTTTTATTGCTTTCTCCAGAAACCTGTCTTGTCCTTTTGAAAAACATATGGTTCAACTGGACATTCAAGGACATCATACTTTCACAACACAATGAGTTCAATCATCACAACCACAATACTTCCTTCAAAACTGTTCATATGACATCCCAAGTGTCCTCCTCATTGCAACTATCTGTAGTCTTTCAGTCATTCTTCTAGTACTTACCAGGAAGGTTCTCTTTAGACTTGCTAGCTGATTTGGGGTTTTTTTCAGGGCTTTTAGTTTTAGGTGATTTAAGTCCTTTGTCAGGTGATATACTAGATGTCTCTGTGGATGGATTTAAAAATATTGTTGATGGTGATGTCACGGTGAAGCCAGGTGATTTTGGTGTTGATTTGATCTTTTCATTTATATCTTTAATATCCATACATTTCATCAATCGGCATGATTTACAAAATCTCTTCTTTTCAAAATTTATCTTACATTTACCTACACAAAAGAAAAAAAAACCAACATGATCATATTTAAATTCTCTCTCTTTCTATTAGATCAAGGAATTAGGAATATCATGTAGAGATGTTTCATCAAACTTGCATCTCAGAACTAGTATCTTCCTTTTGATTTTTTCAAACTATGTTTGATAGGCATAAACATTGAACATGATACCAAAATGTCATATTTGGCTTATTTTTTAATTCACAAATTCCTGGGAATGGTTCCAAGAGATTTAATATAATTGTCCCTAGGAACACAGCAAGCTTTAGTCACTGCTTTGCAGTACTGTGAAAAGATAAAATTAAATTTTCAAGATTAACAAGAAAATTAAAATAGCAAAATATAAAGAAAGACTAAAAAGCTTGATATACCTTTAAATTTACAGATATAATCATCAGGCTTGACATGTTGACGTTTAATATGAATACGTAGAAATTTATCACAAAATTGACAGAATGGTACACCTAGCTTATCACTGGGTAGAACTTGTTTATCACCACATACAGCACACTGACCCTTACGAAACTTTCTCTTCTTTATACTAACAGTCATCTTCTCACCACTTCCCATACCTTTAATAATATAAGCATAGAAAATGAAAATATCTAAAAGCAGACTGGAAAAAAACAACAGCAAAGACTAATTTTAAGACTAATAATGCTAAAAAGGCTACAGATAGCGGAAATTCAAAGCAAATATTTTGACAAGTTTGACATTTTAAAATCTAACAATGGAAATACATGTATCTGCAATTTACACAATTTTTGGTTCCAAAAAGTTATACTTACCAAAACTGGTACCTCCAGGTGACAGGGTTCCTCTTTGTGGACTGATTGGAGAATCAAATGGATGTCTCATACCAGCTAAGGGAGATAACTGTAGTCTGGGTGAGATCTGAGACATTTCTGAAGACTCATCATGTTTAGTGTGTTTTGCTTCACGTTTCATTTTGGCTTTCAGTGACCTTGCCAGAGCTGCCTTTGATTGATTTAAAGCTTGCCTGTTTAGCTGTAGTTTGGCTTTCTGAAGAATAATGTTACTGGTTTTAGCTGACAAATCCTGTCCTTTTCCATCAGGTCGTATTCGATTCAGCTTCATTGGTCCAGCTCGATTAAACACACCTAGTTTGGCAGGAGCTAAAGGATTTTTCGTGGAGGAAAACAAAGAGTGTGATGAAGCTCCTGTTGAGGAGGAGGCAGTTGAAGAACTATCAGTACCTTCTTCATCTGGTGTCAACAAACTAGAAGCATTGAATTGCTTCAATCTCAGTTTTATGCTAGGTTTCCGATGTCTCTTTCCTTCTATGACTAATGGCATGTCTAAAAGACCCTTATGTGGGAGTAAATTTGCTCCTTCTAATGCTTTGAGACCACCTTCAGTGCTATTGGAGGGAGGTGGACTAAAATTAGAAATGGCTGCAGCTGTGTCATGATCAACAATAGAGGTAAAATCAGCTGGGAGACTTCTACGCTGTCTAAAAGCATTGATAGACTGCCAGTCATCTGAATCATCTTCTACAAAACGTTTGTTTGGTTTTATCACCCTGGATGAACGTGAACTTTTAGACGGTAAAACAAACCTGGGTTTCGGTTTCGGAGAATTATCAGTGTCCACGGATAGTAAACATAACTTGGATTGAGGAATAAGACCTTTCTTTGCTTTCGCCAAAAGTTTTTTAGCTCTATCTTTTTCACTTTGTTTAGAAGAAAGTTTATTTGTGACAAGAGTTTGTCTAAGTGCACTTGGAGGACTTTGGACGTCATATTTTTTGGGTCTACCTCTACCACGCCCTGGAACTGGGTCAGTATTTGCCCTATACACTAATGAATTGGGAGGTCGCCCAGGTCCTCTCTTTCTTTCAGCACTTTGTGAATCTCTCGATAATGTTAGTTTAAGTTTAATCGGTGTGGTTGGTGATTTCACTCTCACTGGGGATTTTATAGAATGTTTAAGTTTTTTGGGACTAACTTGTAATCTTTTCAAATCTTTCACTTTGGTAATAGTTGAGGCTAAGGATCCCTTTCCTAAACCCTTTTTAATCACATCTGCATAAGACTTATGTACCACTGTCTTTTTACGGCCTCTAGTCCTTTCTGATGTAGGCAGATCATCCAATGAATGTTTGGTTGATGTTAGCCTTGTATTAATGGATGCATTATGACTACCACTGTATCTACTGACAGGGCTAGTTGCTGGTTCTAAGCTTTGTTGACGTTTTAACTCTTCTTTAATAGCTCTTGATAGCTTCTGATTTGATTTCAAAACATCCCGATGTGTAAACCCTTCAAATTCTTCATCCTGGAATAAAAAAAGGATCAAGTAATGACTGTCAATTTTTCCACATTAAACGTTAGTTTTAAGTTGTTCATGAACTAAATGGGGCAAAATCAGCATCAAAGCTTAGTTTATGAAAATTAGATGCCTAAGAAAATGTTTTAAAACCTAATTATCACCATTTAATATTCTTAACATGAAAACAAAATTTTGTTTGAAATTTTATTTGGTAGAAAATTCAGTGATTTGAATTTTTTTGCGATTTCAATTGGAGAAAATAGTCTTTGCAATTAGAATGTGAGAAGATCAAACAGAATTCTGCAAAGAACAAGTTCATGCAACATTGGGTTGATTACAAGGATTTCCAAATGACCAGAGGAAGAAGCGACGATAATCTTGGCTAAATTCATTAGATATGTAAATTATTTAGATTAAAATGAAATGAACAGAGTTTTACGGTTTTCTCTTCCGCACCTAATTGGGCTAACAAAGGGCAACGCCATGCAGTGTGCAATGAAGGTAATTTTGACAGGACATGAGTTTAAACCTACTCATTTTAGATTTCCAACTATCAAGGATCTTTAAATCATTATGAGTAATCCTAGAATCAAAGAATACTGGTATGATAGATATTATGATTTAATATAAAGTTCAAATTGGAATGTTCATGTTACTGGCCTTCAGTCTAATTTTCAAAATATATCATTAAGGATGTAATTTTTTTTTTAAGGTCAATGCTTAACACTTATATCTTTTTGAATACAAAACATATGCTTATACAGGTATTTCAAAGCTAAATAGTTTTGTTGATTTTAATCTATGTCCAGGTTTTTAAAGTAAGGACTACAAAGCATCACATTTAACAAGCAACTTCAAATCTATGTTTTCATCATACTTGAATTTGATCCAATTTCAAAGAAGAAAATGTTATTTAATTATGACATCTTTACAATTTTTGAAGTTTTACGACATTTCAGTGGCAGAGAGATAGTGACAACACAAGGAATGTGAATCAGTGTACCCGAGGAACTAAGAGAAGAGATAAATAATGAAAAACGTAGAGCAGTTACAGAGAATTTTGCTAAAATATGAATTGTACAAATTGCGATGTCGGCCATTTTGTTTCGATACAGAGTCAGTGGACAATTTACCTCATCAGATTCGCCACAGAGCTCTCTAAAATAGCGTAAACCTCTGTGGATATTGGCTACAAGAGCTAAGGTTGGATCTGTGGCATTTCTGGCATCGTCTAAGCCATATCTGATTCCTAAACGATCAAATCTGTATCCTGGACGGCCTGGAAAGCGAAGCCGCGCCATGTTGCTGTTACCGATTCAACCAAAATGGCCACCAGCGCGTGATGTCAACCATAAAATCGTCTGTTTAGTCGTATATTCATACCCAGTTTTTAGTTTTTAAGATGTCTGCTCATAGTTCATAAGCAATATTCAAAATGAATGTATGATTTGGGAAATATCATTCTAAAATAAAGCTGAAATTGGCAAAATTATGACAGATGACCTTATTATGCTCGATTGGGGCCAAAATAGAGCCAATAGGCGTGCTATTAATACCCGCCAAATATAATGACAGTTGCTTGTCAATCATGTTTTCTGAATTAAACATAATTAATATTTAATGATTCGTCACAAATATTATTTCAAATGAACAATGGATTAATTTTGTGGCTATCTGCAACGCAAGAGCAAGAAATTTTACGATTTTTTAATTGTTTATATTGTTTTTCGAATCGTTGTGGCTTTGTTTTGATTTTTCGTTCCCACAATGCCGTATTTGTATTAACCCTCGTGCTTCTGTTATGATAGGTTTAGTTGAGTTGTGACAGTGGACAGTGATGATGGGTTAAGATGGCCAAAAGGGGATTACCAAAACCCCATAATAGTAAATTTATTGAGTTTTTCGAGGATTATAAAATATGGAAACCGGTTAAATTTTAACAAGGAGTTTGTTGTTAAATTGTTCTACCTAATTGCTTTGCCCGTAGTCTAGGCTACGTACTATAGCCATAGGCTTTAAATTAAGGAAATCTTGGAATAACAGAAGTTCCTTAAATTGTGTTTAATTCTAGAAATGTATTAAATATACTGATATGATTTACGAGGAATGACAGTGACCGATATATTGGATAAATATGAATTCAGTATTACAAATGGATCTTGACAAAACATTCGGATCGTCTCCTTCAAATGTAACTCTTCCTATATCGGCCCGACCAGAGTGTGAGGGGCAGGCTACAAAACCTAAACTTTACTTGTACACAAATTTTGGAAAAATGCAATCACCTAAAAGTGCAAATAGTACAAGTCACTCATTAAACGACGTGTCGAAATCGACAATCTGTAGGTCATTAGGAAGTAGTGGAGTATTGAATTCACCCTATTCTATGACAAACAATACCTTAAATATCTCGGCCGTCACACCTGATCCTAGCCGACTTTCTAGTCAACTGGATAATCTATTGTCAGATAGTGAAGTGAAAAGCTGTACCCCCGGGCCAGATGAAGGATTAGAGGATACCAGTGATCCCCGTCTCTGCCCTAGGGTACTTGTTGATGTTAATCTGCCCATTCAAAGACCCAAAGGATCAAACTGTTTGACGGCGGCAAGTGCAGTGAATAATTATTTGAGCACTCGGACTTCGACACCATTACATTCAAATTCAGGGATTAACTGTGAGAGAAGTGGTAAAAAGACCAGATTTAAAGAAGGGAGATGGAGAAATGCTAAGGAGGTAATTTCAATCAATTTATTTCCATTATTTATAAACGTCCGATGTTATGAAAGGGATTTATATTTGACCCGATGTCCCTTTAAATTGGCCTTTTCAACCGTCTTAACTAAGTGGAACTAGCAATTGCTAGTAATAGATTTTAAGAATTTTACACGAGAAATGCATATAGAATATTGGAATATTAGAATATTAAGGTGTCACAAATAATAATAACTTCATACAAGCTCTAATAGGCTATATGGCCGAAATCGAAGAAGAAAGCACTCTATAGTCGTGGAAAATAGTACTTCTTTAAAGAAGTTTAGCCTACGATGTGCATTTGGGACACATAGGTAAATCACACCACAAGTTTGTACCCTGGGTAACGTCTACTGTCTATCGTGTTCAATCAGCATGATAGCTTATCATGTATCACCACCCTTCACATTCATGCAACACATATTTCACCCAGCTTGACCACTGTCCAGTTCATTCTCTTTTGTCCGAAGAAGTCGGTAATTATTGTTTCGAAGTTGGACAATGTCATCGTGACTGTACAGTAATGGTTTCTTTTAATCTGACAATTCAGAACTCTAACGAATCTTGTAAGGTTGATAACAACAAGCTGTTTTTTTTTTTGCTCATCTATATGGCTACCTCGTAAACGAGTGCTCTACTTTATAAATACGTTTCAATTGAAAGGTTTGAGTTTTGAAGAAAACGTTTTTTGGTCAGCTAGGATTTCATGTAGATAACCCCAAGACAGATCTTGTAAATTAACCCTTTTGTACGTTCTAAAATGATTAAGGCATTAATAGTCTTGAAATTCCAGAAGACCTGAACAACAACATGCACATTCAGAAAATTTGCTTAAAAATGACTTAGTAACGCTTTTTTGCTCTGGTCTTTCTCATTCTCTTAAACTATGAACGGAGTTTTCGGATTATTCCAGCCCCGTGTATCAAATACTGTCAGAAGCAGAAGGAAGTTCTGAATAATTCATCATGTATCAGTTGAGATAATAAATTCTAGGGTTAAATTACAAACTTGATATCTAGAAAACAACAGACGATACTAAAGTTTCAGCAGGATGCAGACGTCTTGTATAATTTACAGGATATCGTATGGTCAAGCAAACTGGTTAAGCCCACGTGTGTGTGGTCAGTATAACCTCATCCATTCTGACCACAAAAACGATCAAAATATCGAGTACAAGATTGGTACAACAATAGTTCATTATGTACAGAAATCTGCTTTAATAATTCCCATTTCGACCAGGGGGTTATTGTGCAGCTTACTGCTTGCTTGGTAGCTGGACGTGATTATATAAATCAGCGAGGTTTGTTAAGTTTGAAATTGCAAGAATATGCTATTGTTAAGCCAACCACTGAGGAACAATTGGACGTTGATTTATGATATGTATTTTCATGCACACAAAATTTGAAGAATATTAATACACTGCTTTACTCTATTCTTAAAATATTGCAGATAGAAGACCATATTGCACAAACATAATGATATCATCGAAAGGCCACGTGATATTGTTGAGATCAAATACATTTAATAATTTTTTTGAAGTTTATAACAATCATTATGAAAACGTATGATGTATAATTGTATTATGTATTTCACCTTTACTCAAAGCAAAGTAACATGTGTTAAACGTGTTCTACGATGCATCAACTTTTCTTTATAAAATTATATTTACAATGACACGCCAAATGGGTCAGGTCACATCGATATACTTTCAAAATTATTTCCTTGTTTTGTCAATAACACTGATAGTTTCCTTAGCATTAACAAAGTCACTGTTTCTGCCAGAGATCATGCCACTTCGTTTTTCCTGCACCACAACCATCATCAAAATTAATAACCGAACGTAAAACAAGGTTCTTTTAACTTATAATCAATGGTTTTTGAGGTAGCAATAAAATTTAAATCTCTCCTAAACACAGGAATTAGTATAAATAAACTCATTTTACAGGAAACCTATAAAAGTTTAATTTGGGTTCAAATTGGTACGTTCGAGTGCACCTTAAATGAAATAGGAGAATTTCCTTATTGATAAATATTGGTCATAAACTACGCTTCAACGACATGGTACATCATCTGATTATTTTTCTGTACCATGTACACATTTTGTACCCTTTTTAACGGCCCTGTATTTTTAATATAGAATTTTCAATGAAGGAAGTTTAAAGGGTTAAAACATCAAACACAATCTGCAGAATTCATCTTTATAGAAAAATATGATTAATATGATTGATATCTCGAATGATTGAATGGTCAAGCGAACGCTCTGCATGGCCCCATTGTTTCTTCAGATCGCATTGATGATCTCGTCGTGATATAGATATTTTCCTTTTGGTTTTTAATAATTTCTGTTTTGCCGATGTAAAATGAAAACAAATAGAATTGATATCCTTATTGTTCACTTTGGATAAACGTGCAGTTATACTATTATTCAAAACCCAGCTGTTGAGATTTTAATGTTACCAGCCTGCCTGTGTCAGAAATAAAAGCTAAGTTTAAGCATTTCAGTCAAATTCAGAGGCCGTTATATTGACTTTACAGCGACCTGCGACCAAAACTTATTGAAATGGTCTATGGTTATCAGATAAAGAACAAAGGCTAATAAAAGACCATCAAAAGGTGTACTCGAGTACATAAATCTTACTAAGTCAATTTGATAAGCCGGGCTAAATTAATTAAATTGTAAGTAAATACAGACACATGTAAGGTCTCGAAGTGGCTGACCAATTTAACATGACGTGGAACATATGTCGGCTCTTTGGTAGATCAAAGGCAGAGTGTTATCGGGAGGGAATTAACTAATAACATCCCCCAGACTTATGTTACTGTGCATGTTATCATTCTGTCAGGCGTTATCTATCGGGGGATGTTTTTCACTAAACAGCGTTGAGGACCTACAGCATAGTACACGGAGTGAAAGTGATCCCTCGAGAAAAACCTTGTCATCTGTCAAATTCAACTACATATTTCAAATAATTCACCCTACACCTACAAGGCAATAACTCTTGTATTTTCAATGATAAATCGAATCTTTAAAGGAATGACCAATTGTAATTGCGTGTTTTCGTTGCCAGTCCGACACCTCTGATGCAATTCTGATAACAAGTTGTCTGTTATAGGACATCGGCTACAACAGAAAACTGTGTTAGTTGGACGTAACGAAGGTTTAAAATTGATGTTGTCTTAAGTCAGAGCACATATTCGCTTTAATTGAGTCGATATTTATGAGTACAATATTTACCAATTATCAAGTTGGTGTAAAAGAATGTTACCTATCTTCATCAATACAAGCCGTCAATTATCAAACCTGGACTATAATTAACATGGTTTGTCTGAATTAGATAAGGTTCATTACCAGGTTAATATGGGCTGTAAAGTACAGGTACATTACCAATTAAGTTTCAATACGAGCACATCTTACTCTGTGCAGAAACCTGTAAATTGATCATTAGGGTTTTTATGAGAACGTCCCAAGGCGTTTAAATTGCTTATTTTACTCTCATAGTTTGAGAGTTATTGCCCTTGTAAATGATAAACATGGTACATGGTTTTTGTAGTTAGGTCTTTGTGACTGAAATTTTACAACTCATAAATGATCTTCCGGAACATTTTTTAATGCTGTATTAAGTAACGCCTATTTAATGTAGCTCTTCTTTTGTCTTTAGCTGGGAAACTTTTTGACCATTTATGGCGTAAAACTCAACTTCTTTTATCATGTGGGTCAAGTTGCTTCCAAATAACCGAAAATCTTCCATAGCATCTTCTCAAAGAGTATATTTGCTGTTGTCGCCTGAGGGAAAACGTAACCATATTCTTATATCCTGTCCTTGATCATTTCGTACATTCCAAATATTAAAACAGGTTCTCGTCGCCAAAATTTAGGTGAAAACACTTCTATTTGTGAAGGATAAGGAAAGACATTTATCATTTGGTATTTTGAAGATCTGGTTCAAAACAACCATTGTGTTTTATAACAATGAACAATTAGGTCTTTATTACCTCAAGTACCATTGTTTCAAGATGGCTAAAATGTTTACTAGGAGTTTACTCTTTATTTACACATAAACAAACACATACTTCATCGCCTCATCAAGTGCTGGAAAGATGTGGAAATCCCAGATTTACCCTCTTGATAAAACAAATCTTAACATGTTTTCGCTCAAGTCTTGGTGGTTAGTTTGTACCCTGGGGGAAATGCGTAACACGTAGTCAAAACGTGTTTACATCGCATGCCTTATTTGGAATTGCTATTTGTGGATTTTCAAACTGGGAGACAGACGTCACTTGAGTTCTGTGATTATCATAGATAATGTGTCTACTTGAGGTGTCGGTTGATTATTTGCTTTCCCTCTAATAACTTGAATGGTCATTTGATATGTAGTTATTAATGATGATGGCCCAGTTTCCAATGACCACTTCGGACTTTTTAGATCAGATAAGTAAGCTAAACAAATTAAATTTCCTTTCTTCGTTATCAATGAAATATATACGCCTGAAACTACAGTTTGGAATTTCAGAAGGTTTCATCTTCAGAACAAATAGTAGCAAACATAATAAATACTTTAATTGCTTCACTTCACACAATGAGATACCGGTTCGTTCTTAATGAATATTTTAGTTTCACCTATATACCATAATGTCCCGATGACAATATCGCAGAAAAAAAAAAATAATTCGTTTTTTTTTTAACATGAATTCATGATGCCAAGATGCCAATCTGCTAGCTAGCTGGATACCATAACAGCTATCCTTAAGATAGTTATTCAGTACTGTTTGGTATAGATACATCAATAATTAACCACGTATTAACTATTTCGGTGGTAACCTTTTAGCTGCCAACAATTTTCTATGAACGATGTATATTTTATGTAAATCACATCAATTTTGACCACTATTAAATATAATGTTCTCATTGTTTGGTCAGTACTGGAATATCAACTGTGAAACAGTATACTCCGTACCCCGGGGGTCAACAGCTGTAGCCGGCCTCAAGTTATTTTTAATATCAAGGTTTTGACTGCAAGATATTTATAAAGATAAATTCCCCCTAATAAAAATATTGATTTATTCCTTTCTGTTTCTTATAGATAAAATCTTGTTAAAATAAGGAACTCTGTGGAGGCGTTACAGTCTCAAGCCTCTCATAAAAAGTATAAAAGGGTTTATCCAAGAAAATTTTCGAAAAATTGAATTTCTTTGATGCGTTCTGACGCATAAATTTTGGCTAAAACGTACAAAAATCATAGTTTTCAATGTGTTAAAAAAAAATTGGAGTAGAATTTGGGGGTGCAAAACATTTTTAGGGGGCAAATCCTGTACCTCCATTGGTGCTGCCACTGTCTGGCCAACAGAAAAGAGGCAAAATTTTTTTTTAGCTATGTTACTGATCCAAGTTGTGTTGAGTTGAAAAACTCTATCGCATAGTGATATTAATTGTGAAGGATGAGCACAAAAATCATTTTACTTACGATTTAACAACCCACGTTATAATTGTCTAGGGTGTGATTTTGATATTAAAGTGTTACCTTGATGAAATGAAGTAATTGTGTAGGTATATAAACCAACTCGAACAGTATCAATTATAACCTTGCTGTGAAATTCACCACCTTTCTCTCTGGTCTCAACTTAATAATGAAGTTTACTGTGACTTTTTAGAAATCACGTTCAGTATTAACCTCTAACCTCAATCTGTAGCCTTCCACAGTTCAATAAGCATTCAGATAACTGGTGTGTCCACTTGATAATTCCTATTACCAGTTTGCACAATTATGCTTTCAGATGAACAAGGAGTCCAATTATGAAATTAGATTAGCCTACCAATGAATATAAATATCATCTGATCCTATTTTAGTGATAAATATTTTGACAACAAGGGCAAAAGGGGTACAAAATCGGTACTTCTATCGACATTTTATTAATGAATTCAAGGATGATGCCACATATTTCTTTTGTATCGATTAAATCTCTAACAGATGAATTGCAATGACATAGATGCAAATCAAACTTCATTAAAACACCAAGACCCTTGATCCCTAGCGTAACAGGTCTTCATCTGATCTTGTAATTTGAACATCTCGATTTCTCGCTTTACTGAACATGAGCATATAAATGTTCATTATTTCTGATTGTCAATTGAAATCGGATTAAATGTGGCTGTCTAGGATGAAAATCTCACTTGATTTATGTTTTATCGTGTGAAAGGATCTTTTCAAATTAGACATCCTGTAGCTTAATAGTCATGTCCCGTCTACAACCGTGAGATATAGCCCTGTATACCGGACATCACTTGACCATAGTGACCAGTCATCTCACGCTGGGCAATTTCTTCTCTCCAAACCACAATTAATCATTAATTGACACCCGAACCCCAGTCAATCGAGAAAGATAAGCTCAGTTTACTAGGTTTTGTTGTCAGAGAAAATTAATTGTAGCTTACATGGTGAAGTTTGTCGTATCAAGTTTACCGGGTAGCTATATGTACAGTATTTTATCTTAATATCTATTTGGTGTGATTTGGGGGATCATTTTCCTTTAGATCTTGTATATGAATTATTTTTCAAACAATAATTTTTTTTGCAAATATTACCCCCGTTATGAATGAACTGCAGATAAGAGATGGCGAAAGCATATGGTGAAACCCCCCATATTGGACTGTAATCCATTATGACCACAGACTATATAGTTAGAGTAAGATAATGGCAGTTTCTATGTTTTCTTGAATGTTTTACTAAAAGGATCAACACAAGCAAATCCCATGTCTCTAGGAAGCAATGATTTTTTTGCTATGGCATTCCATCTTCAACGTCACAAAGTGGCAAATCGGGACAAAAAAATGTCCCATACCTTTCTTCTACCATGATACACCCTGAATGTAATTTTCCTTCTACAAAAAAATGCATAGATCTGACTATCAAAGAATTCCTTCTTCAAATCGTGAGAATTGCTTAAATTTCTAATAATCAAGAGATGAAAACAATATAATTCTATAGTCACCCACGGTGGTCCTAGCGATATCCTATATCACTCACAGAA